ACTTTCCAAAGACACACTCCCCTCACTAGCCCTACTTTCCACTCCCCTTGTGAGTTTTTCGTTGGCTGGGATGCGTCCTCGAACTTGCATAATGATTGCCTGAGTACACGTTTTGTTTGTGTGTGTGAAGAAGCCAGCCTATAGTCCAAAGGCAAAATCACATTTTGTTGCTCTGCCCTCTTTTGCCTCTGGCACCATCCCCACCACTGGCATGTGGTCTGCAGAAGCTTGCCCCCAAGGAAATCAGGTCCCACTAGCCAGAAAAGGATTCCCCAGTCCTGCTAATATGGTTTTCAGGTTTTGACTTGTAGAGTGACTTAATGAGCAACAGTTGGATTAAAAAGTTAAAAACAAACCTGTCTGGCACCAGCATCTAATTTTGCACGACCATCCCCAGGGATGGGCCTTCATGTGCCTACTGGCATACAATTCCTGCCCAGGAATTTCCTTGTATGGAAGTTTCACACTCTTTCAGGACACACAGTAAGTGCATCAATAGCAGGTTGTGGTTCCACAAACCATTCATTCCTCATGCTTTCAATTACAATGGTACCTCGGGTTACATCTGCTTCAGGTTACATATGTTTCAGGTTACAGACTCCGCTAACCCAGAAATAGTACCGCGGGTTAAGAACTTTGCTTCAGGATGAGAACAGAAATCGTTCTCTGGCGGCGTGGTGGCAGCAGGAGGCCCCATTAGCTAAAGTGGTGCTTCAGGTTAAGAACAGTTTCAGGTTAAGGACGGACCTCCAGAATGAATTAAGTACTTAACCCGAGGTACCACTATATTACTATTCATTCAATTTATATCCCACACTTCCTCCCGTCGAAGCCCAGAGCAGCAAACATAGAAATAATTGTGATATTAAATGGTTATTATCTTGGCTAAAGCCTTATTAGTAATTCTGCTTCTCTCACACACCAGGGGGTGGGGGTTGGAATTGCCCTCAAGAGTGGCATTTCAGGTCTACTTTGTCATGAGCCAGAGTCACTTGCCCATAGTTTCCTTCCATTCATCAATGGAAGGAATCATCAAATGCCTGCGTAAACAGAACAGCTTTTTAATCCCCCCCCCTTCCTGAAAATCAATAATCAGGAAGACAGGCAGACAGACCTTATCAGGGAGGGCATTCCACAAACAGGTAACTACCATTGAAATGGCCCTGTCATGCCATGTTCAACATCACCTGGGCAGCCCATTTGTGTGATGTAAGTGCATCTTAAAGCTATCCTACAAATTAGTGGCCTTAAAAAGAGCAAAGACTAAAGCCAATGGTTTTCCCAGTAGTGATGTATGGACCATAAAGAAGGCTGATCGCTGAAGAATTGATGCTTTTGAATTATGGTGCTGGAGGAGACTCTTGAGAGTCCCATGAACTGCAAGAAGATCAAACCTACCCATTCTTAAGGAAATCAGCCCTGAGTGCTCACTGGAAGGACAGATCCTGAAGTTGAGGATCCAATACTTTGGTCACCTCATGAGAAGAGCCCTGAAAAAGACCCTGGTGTTGGGAAAGATGGAGGGCACAAGGAGAAGGGGACGACAGAGGATGAGATGGTTGGACAGTGTTCTTGAAGCTACCAACATGAGTATGACCAGGAGGCAGTGCAAGACAGGAGTGCCTGGCGTGCTCTGGTCCATGAGTTCACGAAGAGTTGGACACGACTAAACGACAACAACAAAGCCAATGGCAGCTAAAAGATGTTGCCGCTAACTAAACTTGTGACATCAGCTTTTGAATTCTCAGCCATCCAACAAAATACAAGAAGTGATTCGCTTTGATATCATCGCTGGCTACGTTGTACGTGACAGCAGTAGTGAGCCAGAGTACTGATCACTTTTTAAGTGTTTTGAATCCCAGTGTCTTGTCTTCAACCATTCTGCAGTTGTGGTTCTGAACCAGAACAGTCGCTTCTTGTTCAGCAAAACTCATTTGTAAAAGTGAGGACGAAATGATGACAGAAGAGCATTCACACAAAAAGCTAAAATCCTCCCCAAAGATGCTGATGTGACCTGATGAGAAAAGACCTAGTTAGCCTTTTGCTATGATCTTGACCTCGTGACCCAGTTGAAAAAGTCACTACAGGCACTGTCCGTTACTAAATGTGTCTCATGGTCATCAAAGGAATTGTAACACTTCAGAAATGAGTGATTCATGCAGGAATTGAAGGCAAAAGCTGCAGTTCATGGGCCTTCAGTCTTGATTTTGGGATGGGGATGGGGTGTTCTTCAATAGTTCTGTGACCTTCACTGCTGCATGTGTGAGAGCATTCTGGGAAAGTTCCTTGTACATGACAGCCAAATATTGACTCTTTAGCACCATGTCTCTATTCTTTAAGACCTTCATAGACATATTTAATCAAGATTTAATCAACTTAAAAGGAGCTGCTTAAAGGCAGTATAATATATTTGGGGTTTTAGCTCATCAAGGAGGATTGTGAATTAAGCACAAAAGGAGGCCAGGAGGAGTCTTGGAAATAAAAGCAGGAAAATGATATGAAACTTATTCTGGAGGGGGATATCTGAGAATGTATAGGGCAGGGGTCTGCAACCCGCGGCTCCGGAGCCACATGTGGCTCTTTTACACCTTTGCCGCGGCTCCGGGGCGGATACTAGCGAGGGGAGGAGGTGCATTGTGCGCCCCGACACTCCCCACTGTGGCGGGCGCTGTACTGGCTGTGACGTCGCATGGGGGCGGTGCGTGTATTAGTCATGCTGCGTCCCGACGTCACCTTCCCGCCCGCTGTCAGATCGCGGCTCCGGAGATATATTTGTTTTAAATGGTTTTGCGGATCCCAGTTTTTTTTTTCCTTCGGAAATGGGTCCAAGTGGCTCTTTTTGTCTTAAAGGTTGCAGACCCCTGGTATAGGGAGTCCCAAGGAGAGAGAGATTTCATATGGTGCTTGGTAGGGAAGAAGCAGGGAGATAGAAAACAAAAATCCCATGGATAGGAAACCACTGAGAACCTCTATGCCTGGCATAATTTTATCAACTCCTATTGTGTCACCACTCACCTTGTTTCTAAACTGAAAAGTCCCAAATGCTGCAAGCTTTCCTCATAGGGAAGTTGCTTCATCAGCTTTCATCAGCTTCTTCTAGTGTTAACTTGGACGTTATATATTGCCTCATTCTTCACATGACAGGAATGGTTTTAGCAGATTTTGTTCATGAGAAACTGAAGTTCTGAGCAAGTAACCTAAATGGAATGAATTGCCATGCAGTTTTCCAGTTACATTGCTGATCTTATTTGACTGCATTGACTTGGCTAGAAGATGAAAAGCTGTCTCTATTTGTACTAAATTAAGACTGGTGTAGAAATATGTAGGCTTTAGAGTTTTGCAGCAGCACACACCCTTCCAATGCCTTAACAGGCATGTATCTAAGTTTTAGCAGTTCTTTAGCAATTTGCAAATTGTTGCCACATGGGTGAAAATTAAAGTGTTTTGATTTGTTTTATTGGGGATAAGAAATATGGTTTTGGGGGATTTGTTTAGTTGGGGAGGAAACTGAATGACAAAGTGATCGACTCTGAAAAGCAGGTGGTGTAAAACATATATATATATATATTGCATTAGTCTGTGTCCCAAAGTTTACTGAAACACTCATGGATCAAGGAAGTTGGTTTTCCCATTGCCAAGGTGCACAAGGAAATACAAATTGTTATTTTTTCAGGTCTTTAATAATCTAGCTCTTCATGGCTTGCCATATCTTTACCCAAGGCATATATTTGCACAAGAAACTAAGTTCATAAAAAGTGGAGCCCTTTTTTTTTCCTTTTAAAGATGAAATTTGCTCTTTTTGTTTTGATGGTCCCTGCTGTGAAGTTTAGCATTTTTAACCTGCTTCTTTCTATGCACTCCAGTAATATTTCCTGTTGTTATTTCGTTCACAGCAATATAAACTACAGAAAGCCAGAGGTAAATTATGCAATATTGCTGGTGTAACTTACCTCTTTTCCAAACTCTAAACAGGAGCAGGGGCTCCCCTAGGTAAAGGTAAAGGTACCCCTGCCCATACAGGCCAGTCTTGCCAGACTCTAGGGTTGTGCGCTCATCTCACTCTATAGGCCGAGAGCCAGCGTTGTCCGCAGACACTTCCGGGTCACGTGGCCAGCGTGACAAGCTGCATCTGGTGAGCCAGCGCAGCACACGGAACGCTGTTTACCTTCCCGCTGGTAAGCGGTCCCTATTTATCTACTTGCACCCAGAGGTGCTTTCGAACTGCTAGGTTGGCAGGCGCTGGGACCGAGCGATGGGAGCGCACCCCGCCGCGGGGATTCGAACCGCCAACCATGCGATCGGCAAGTCCTAGGCACTGAGGTTTACCCACAGCGCCACCCACGTCCCTGACAGGGGCTCCCCTAGCAGAGGGGTAATAACACCACTTTTTTGCCAGTATAACTTTCTCTGGGTTACTTAGTCACATGTCTCTCCCCGCACCCAGTGTCTTGTCCCCACCATTCCCCTGGAACATCCTTTTGTGGGGACTTAATTCAGTGTCAGCTTTGCTAGCTGAGCCCCAGTTGAGCTGGGATCAAGAAGCTATGCTGGCATATATCTGGCTGAAGAAGAAGAAGAAGAAGAAGAAGAGTTTGGATTTGATATCCCGCCTTTCACTCCCCTTCAGGAGTCTCAAAGCGGCTAACAATCTCCTTTCCCTTCCTCCCCCACAACAAACACTCTGTGAGGTGAGTGGGGCTGGGAGACTTCAGAGAAGTGTGACTGGCCCAAGGTCACCCAGCAGCTGCATGTGGAGGAACGGAGACGCGAACCCGGTTACCCAGATTACGTGACTACCGCTCTTAACCACTACAGCACACTGGCTGAGCTGGAGATATGCCTATATGCTGGTCTCAAAAGTACCATGCCAAGATGACAGGAGTGAATTGCTGTAACTGAAAATGTGTCTGAGACTTGAGGGGGGGGTGCTACTTGGGTGAAAGGCAGGGTATAAATGAAATGAAATAAGCACATCTCTGTTATCTGTGTGCTGTCTCCAGGTGGTTATGTACATTGGCCAAGTCTCAAAGGACCTGCTCAAGTGGCCCCGCCCTTGTTCTCCACCTGTTGTCAAGCTAGAAAAAAGGACCACTGCAGAGTATGGAATGCCATCCACACATGCAATGGCAGCAACCGCCATTTCTTTTACATTTGTGGTTACAACTGTGAACAAGTACAAGGTAGGCATGCAGTGTGGTGTGCTGGATAAGGCAGATCTTTCCAAACTTTTCGTGTTGGTGACACTCTTTAGAAATGCATCATTTCATGACACAGTACAGTAGTACCTCAGGTTACAGACGCTTCAGGTTACAGACGCTTCAGGTTACAGACTCTGCTAACCCAGAAATAGTACCTTGGGTTAAGAACTTTGCTTCAGGATGAGAACAGAAATTGTGCTCTGGTGGCACGGCGGCAGTGGGAGGCCCCATTAGCTAAAGTGGTGCTTCAGGTTAAGAACAGTTTCAGGTTCAGAATGGACCTCCAGAATGAATTAAGTTCTTAACCCGAGGTACCACTGTAATTCAGTTTTACTAGCAAACTGGAGGTTAAACTAACCCCTTTCCAGCCCCAGAAAGTGTAGCCTCTCCAAAAACTCTGGCTTAAATCTAAGAAGTGAAGGCTTGGTGTGTCCCCTTTCTCTCCCTCCCACACCGTCTCAGGCAGACTTGCCCCACTGATCTTGCCACACAGGGGCAGTTCTAGCTGAATCCAGCATGATCTAAAAGCCTTTCCCCACTTACTCTGCAGCCAGACCCCACATTCTACACATTCATCTGTATAATGGCATCATGACCACTTTGTTTTCAAGCCATGACCTAATAGTTTCTGTTATGTGCCTTTTCCAGTGATCTGAATCTCTCTTTCTGAGGTGAGCTTTTCGCTCAGATCATTCCTAAGGATTTATAGCCAATTTGTTTGTTTGTGCTGATGTGAAGTTAGAATATTCTGTTCCATTTGGCTCCTGTCTTCTATTCTGTTACATAACCATACAGTTTGGAGACCTTATTTAGGAGCCCTTCACAATTGAATTTTGTATTCTCGACTGACTTTGCCAACTGCAAATGTGGCTACACCCACTGCTTGATTCCATATATTTATGAACAGGTCTAACGGCACAGGTCCAAATACGGGGGTGAGATCCTCTTCACTATCTGTTGTCTTCTTCATCCAGTGTTGGTCTAAATAGAGTGCAGCTTTTGCATTTTCCATTCCTAGGGCTCAGTAGCACCTGTGGAGGTTGAAATTTTATCCTTTTCCAACAATTGTAGGTGATGCATTTATTCTAAGGATAACATTACAAATCATCACTGCTAGTCCAGGTTGTTTGGAAACGTTACTTGAATTCATCAAACTTCTGATATTCCAGAATGCAGTTGATTTTGAATTAGAATGGCCTGGCCATTGATAAAAGTCTGATGGTGCCTTATTTGATTCTTTGTGATATATGCAACTGCTATTAATGTTTCTTTCACTCCCCTTTTATGTTTACAGTACCCACTTGAACTAGGCCTGCTGGGAGCCTTCTTATTTTCAACTCTGGTATGCCTCAGCAGAATTTACACTGGAATGCACACAGTTTTGGTAAGGTCTCTCCTTAGTTTATTGCCCATTTTTTAGGGATTTATATCCTGAAGCATGAACATAAACCAGTGCACGTTAAAAGCAAATGGCACACAAAAACTGCCTAAATCGTAGTTAAGCCCTCTTCTAGAAATAGCACATAAACTTGCAGCTCAACCTATTCTGCATCCATTTTCTCTCTTTTCGACCTATCTTTTCCATGCAAAGCTCACGTATGTAACATATAATAAACAAGTAAGGCTGTTGTCATGTTGCAGTTCTCTTGGTGGCTGACAGGTGGCTGCTGCAAATAACAGCATGATGGTAAACTTCTGATAGCTGTTGGCCATTGGATGAGGAAGACAGAAGAAGGCAGGTATAAATAAAGGGAGGGGTGGCTTTGGTGGCCTCTAAATGGAGCGGGTGGGGTAGATGGGGTTGGTAAGAGAAGCAGAGGCACAGCCCCTGGTTTATAAATAATATCCTATGCTTGAACATCATCAGCCTCTCTCACTGCACCCATACATTGAGCACCATTCTTTAGGCATCTCTTGTATTTACTGTAGGTACCCCTTGGGGCAAAGCCTTACTGGTAGAATAGTAGCTTGCTAGCTTAGTAGTGAGCTGGACTTTCTGCTCCTCCTTCTCCCAGGGCTACAAGTATTTCTGGTGACTGGGAAGGGCTGCAAAGCTGGGTGATTTGCTTGCTGGAATGCGTCATCTTGACTCATAGTATGTTATATGACTACTACTACATGTAGCCTCTTTCACTGAAAATTAGGCCTGATGTAGCTACTGTAGTGAGAAGAGGTGTGCATCATTTTTCATAGTGCCGCTAGCTGATTCTATACCATGAGCCTCCTGGATTCACACATGACATTTGCTTGTTTACCATCCTCATCAGGCACATTGGTAAAGGTCTTGACCTCAGTAGATCAAACCAATAATTTGAAAGGGAGGATGTCTCCAGTCTAGATTTAACTAATGACCTAAAGTCAGTCAGTAAAAATTCTCTGCATATTTCCCTTGATAAGTGATAAGAGGAGACTTTTCTAAATTCAGATGGGGTTGGTGGTAAAGAAGAGAGAAGCCTTTGTTGACATTCTTGAAAGAACAAAGCTACTTTAATTTGGGTGGGGAGGGGAGTCCCCTCCTTTCAATAGATTTAAATTATAGTTCTGTGAGATTTTTTTTGCTATCACAAGAACATGAAATACAGTGCAGTCCTGTGCATGCCTATTCAGCAGTAAGGTCCATTCAATGAGACTTAGTCCCAGGTAAGTGACTGTTGAATTGTAGCCTAAAAGATTTTAATATGGTTGCATAATTGGTTTATATATTTTTTGTAAATCACTTAGAGGCCTACTGTGGCATTTAGCAGTATATAACATAATAAAGACTAATAATAATAATGTAGCAGCAAAAAAATGTTCTGCAATTTAAATCTATTTGAATAAACTTAGTTATCTGTATCTAATGTAGAAGATTTCTTGAATCTTGTCCTGATCCTAGAATAACTTCCACTCTTCTCTCACAACACCCTGGAATGTTGTAGATTCCAGCATCATGGAGGATGTAAAATGGTGGTCTGACCATCAACACTGTTGCTGCTACTATCACCTACAGTGGAAAAAACAAAACTAAAAAATAATAGCAATATTGGAAGCCTGTGCTAATGGTGAATTCCATCCCTGAGAAACTGTTGGAGAGATTCCTTGCTTTGCTCTTGCCCTAAGAAATTCAACAGTGCCCACAATATATTTGCATCTGCACCCAAATATGGAGAATTTCAAGAGACCATTAGTGCATAGCTCTAGGGTGAACCACTTGGAGGTTCTGTTTACCATCAAGTGGTATATACATTTTGTTTAAATAATAAGTAGCATATTATTACAAAAGTTGGGTGTCACACACCCCACACTCTCTACTAAGCCGTAGCAAAATTTCAGGGGGGTTCCAGGTGCTCACCCAGGGTCTGTGCTCCTTTGGAAAATTGAAGATGTGGTAGAGACGGTCTTAGCTTTAAGAAATATGATTGATTCAGCTATTTACTACACCTTCAGTCTGCATGGAGGGAGTCGAGATCTTACAGCATGGGCATCTCAAGCAGGGCTTGTTTCCCACAGCAGTACAGCTCTGGAGTCAAAGGCATCACAACCAGTCAGCCTTCAGCCAACCGTCCCAAGATGGATCTCACTCTTCTCTTTTCACCCCCTCTCTTCTTCTTCTTCCCGGCACACCTTACTAAAAAGCACTTTCCTGTCACCGCTCACACACACCCCATCACCTTGGCAACCTCTATCTGCCCAGGCCCAAGAAGGGCCATTAACACATTTTGTCATGTTAATGCCTCTATCCCAGGTGAGCCCCTAGCTTGGAAAGGAACCTTAAAAAGGTAAAAGTAAAGGTACCCCTGCCCGTACGGGCCAGTCTTGACAGACTCTAGGGTTGTGCGCCCATCTCACTTAAGAGGCCGAGGGCCAGCGCTGTCCGGAGACACTTCCGGGTCACATGGCCAGCATGACAAAGCTGCATCTGGCGAGCCAGCGCAGCACACGGAAACGCCGTTTACCTTCCCGCCAGTAAGCGGTCCCTATTTATCTACTTGCACCCGGGGGTGCTTTCGAACTGCTAGGTTGGCAGGCGCTGGGACTCAGCAACGGGAGCACACCCCGCCGCGGGGATTCGAACCGCCGACCTTTCGATCAGGAAGCCCTAGGCGCTGAGGCTTTTACCCACAGCGCCACCCGCATCCCTGGAAAGGAACCTTAGCATGTATTTATCCACTGGCCTGCAATCTTCCCTTCAATACTCCAAATAATCAAAATCAAAATTTCTAGGGTTTAGCTCCCCTGCACCCTGCATACCGATAATATTCTTCATTTTACATTCACCATGGACTGCAGATGTGTTGGCATGATTTTAACATGTTATTCTTCTCGCATGTAAATTGACAGTAGCTGAAGTCCTCTAAATGGTCCGTCCTTCCTTCCTTCCTTCCTTCCTTCCTTTCTTTCTTTCTTTCTTTCTTTCTTTCTTTCTTTCTTTTTTTGCTTCTCTTAATAAATTCCACTCTGACCTGACAAAGCTGGTTTCAGGCTGCTCAGCAGCAATCCAGACTTCAGCGTTAACATATGTTTTTGCCTGAAGATGCCTGTGCTGATCTACGGAGAGGCATAACTTAAATCCTTTGAACTGCATTCATCTACTTTTGCGATGGTTTTCTCCTTAATCTTTTCATTAATAGAGCTTCCTCCTTGTGCGAAAGTGGATGAAGGAAACATAATCCTCCTTTGAAATTAAGAGATTTAACAGATTATGGGCGGGGAAGGGCTTGGCATGAACAGAAACCTGTTGTTTAAACTTGCTTTAGATGTGTTCCTGAAACTATTTGCTTCAGTGAATTTGTCGCCAGTTTTTATTTGGGGGTTATATTGATGGTTTCATTGTCCTTTGGCAAGCAAAAAGAATGAAAATATCTATAGGGTTCTCCATGTGTACCAGAGGTGCCAGTATTTGGGCACACTTAGATATTTTTGAGTGAGCACTGTCAGCATCACTCTGGTCACTTCTGCCCCCTATCCCTGCCCCACACACAGCAGGAAGAGTGTGTCAGCAAACACACTTTGCTTTTACAAGGGCTCTGGGTTAAAGTCAGATCTGGTGGACTTGATGTGAGCCTTGAAAAGCACCCATAGCTGAGAGCGAAAATGCAAAAAACTTTGATTCTTCCAGCTTTCTTCTTCCTTCAGCTGCATGCACTTTTTCAAGGCAGAAAAAGCTAACACCTTTGTGCTGGTACTGCAGTAGAAGTTTCAAATATGACCATAAACTCAATAGCTTTAAAATAATAATTATAACAACAATGGGAGCACTATGGAGGAAACAGAGAAATTCATAGAGGCTTGGGAAGAATGTAGTCTGGATTCTCTGGAACAAACTGAGAAAGTACTACATAAATACTCAGGATAAAAGTTCTCCTCCTTCTTGTTTTAGCCTTTGAGTTTTGCTGCATAGGAATATGGTTGCTGCTGCAAATACATGAAATGGTAGGAAAATAACTTTTAGCAAAGAACTGGTGCAGAATGCACAGAATGTTACCAGGCAAGGAAATCACCTGCAAGGAAAAAAGTTTTCTGGGTTGATATCTCTCCCACTCCCCACCCCCTCTGTTTGTCAACTTGAACTAAATAAGGTAATTTATTTTTTGTGCTGCCAGGTAGATGCACCTATATGCACACTTTTCATCTTGAAGGTCCCAGGCCACAGAGAGGTTAGGCTGGCCTCAACTAGAGCCAGGGCTTTTTCGGCTGCGGCTCCAACCTGGTGGAACGCTCTGTCACAAGAGACAAGGGCCCTGCAGGACTTGACATCTTTCCGCAGGGCCTGCAAGACTGAGCTGTTCCACCAGGCCTTTGGTTAGGGCACAGCCTGACTCCCTCCTTTGGCAATCTTTACAATACTTTAGTTTATGGTTGCCATCAATTTTGATTTTAATTAATTCTTATGATGTTTTATAATGTTGCACTATTTTAGTGTTGTTAGCCGCCCTGAGCCCGGCTTCGGCTGGGGAGGGCGGGATATAAATAAAATTTATTATTATTTATTATTATTATTATTTTCAACGGGCATGCAGTTGTTCAAGTCCTTATCCAAATGCATTCTAAAGGAAGTGATTCATCTGTTAATCATTAACCTGGTAATACATAAAGCAAGATGACACAAGTTCCAGGGCCATAGCCTCAGAGGCCAAGGGTTGCTATGAGACTTTAGAGCCCTTCCTGAATTTTCAGCATTTTATTATTTCATTTGATTAAAGTTAATCTTTAGCCCCTGTACTTCATTCTTGAACAACCATGCATGTTTTCCCTTATATGCCCGTAAGTAAACTGTGTCCCCACCTTCCTCTGTCCCACCTAACTGGTTTGCAAAAGGCACTAAGAGGAGACGAGCATTTGAAACTTTTTTGGTTATGAAGTTATACATTTAACTTAAATTAATTTGCTTAATTTGCCTGTATTTAGGCTTCCTGGGTAGCTTTAAGGTCCATTTAATTTGTCAGCGGTCTTGCATTAACTTCAAAACAATTTGGCTCTGTTGTTCATTGGTTTTCTGCTCAGCATAGTTACATGTTCAATATACATAATATGCTCAAGCATCACAGCTCAGTGATCTTTAGCAATTCATCAGATACCTATTCTTACAGTTACTTTGGGAGAAGGATGGTCTGCTTGAAGGAAATGAGAATGCGCTGTATGCCTAACACCTCTATGTCTTTCTAGGACGTGATTGTCGGCAGCCTGATCTCAGCCATATTAACTGCTCTGGCTTATCCAACTTGGGACCTCCTTGATCACCTGATGCTGACCAGCCCCTGGTGCCCCATGTTCTGCATCATTGTCCCCCTCATCTTATGCTACAACTACCCCAAACTGGATTACTATAGCCCCACTAGGGCAGACACAACCACTATTCTGGGAGCTGGAGCTGGAGCAATTACAGGGTTCTGGATAAACAACCACTACGTTTCAAATGTTTCGGCTGAAGAAGCGACACACAGCATCCCTTCGGTCACTGGCGACATGCTCTTGATGGTTCTTGCACAGTTTTTGGTGGGAATTGCTGTACTGCTGATTATACGGCAGATCATCAAAAGCCTGGCTCTTAAATCACTGTGTTCTTGGTACAAGGTTTCTATTAATGACATTGAAGCTATGCAGCAAATAGAAATTGAAGTGCCCTATAAATTTATAACCTATTCTACCATCGGCCTGAGTGCTACAGTGCTTGTGCCATTGCTGCATAAATTATTGGGCTTAAACTGAATGGTGCACACTTTTTTTTAAGAAGCAGTCCAGATTATAGGGTGCAATAAAAATGCACGCAGAAGCAAAAACTTGAGGAGCAAAGTGTCGTGCCTTCCTGCATAGCTCTACAACATAGATAATAGTGGAGATCTAAACTGAGTTTCCAATAATTTTTGTTCGCTGCAATCTTTTAACACGCTGTGGCTGCTTCAGCGACTATGGCTGTCTGGGCTAAACGTTTAGTGCAACTAGAAGCCTGCCATGACAGACAGTCAGGTCTGTTCTTCCTAGATCTAGTGGTTTGAAGAGGTTCTTCAGGGTTGTCAAACCTCAAGACAAGCCCTTCAAGGGATGCAGCCAGATCAGGGTAGTTGGAGAAGAGCCTTCTTTTTAGAAGACAAAGCAAAACTACAAAGTAATTATCCTTACAAGCTTAACAGTCTGAGAATTGGGAGGAAGATAAGCACTCTCAGGGAGAAATAAGATGCTGTAAACAGGGAAACTGGGTTGGCACTGAATCTGGCTGCCCATCCAGCAGGATGACAAACACTGGAGTCATATCTTGCAAAACAGACTCCCAGTCATACAAATTCACATGTATGGGTATAATTGTGTTGTGTTCTGAACATATCCATGTTATTAAATTAAGCTGTGTCATGTCTGAAGCTGTGCTCTGGTATGGTACGGTATGCTATGGCATTGGCCCAGAATGTGGAAAACAATCACTGCTGCTGTGACTTGTAGGCCACCAAGAAATGAATTGCAAGGACCAAGTAACTGATGGCAAGTGCAAATGTGATTGCAGATTTATTTTTTAACTAATAAGATCTTCATGTCCTCTTTCTTTCCACTAATTGCTCTTGTGCAAAGTGGTATTTCCCATTGGCAATGAAGGCTCCAGCAAGACCTGTGAAACAACTGTTGCCCTTTTTGGAGCTTGAGGACAGGATGAAACTAGCATTGGTCTGACTTCGACGCTGCCATTCCAGGTGTTGGTAAATTGCTATCTGCCTGCCGCTTTGCATAGATTCCCACTGTAGGGAAGCAAATATAGCACACTTATCAGAGCCTTTAAATGAAATGCTGCTTAGACATGCAGATTTGAGAATTAACTGGAGTCAAAATTTTAACCTAACTTTAATATAAACAACAACAACAACAAAAACCTAAACTAGGAATGGCTTAGGATGGGAGAGGGCTATTCTGTTCATGTCTTGCCCACGGGTTTCCAATAACGGCATCTGGTTAGCCACTGTAAGAACAGAATCTTGGAACTAGAAGATGCTTCCTTCTGATCCATTAAGACTGTTCATATATCCTTAAGCTTCAGTATTACATTAAGGGTATAACTCCTACGTATATTCCTGCAATTTGAACTTGTCCTATAAGAAATACAGGGCTCTCATCTTTCCCGCCATGCTCATTCTTTAGTTAACATGTTCTGTAAAATGTGGGGGTTGTATGAAGGCAAAGACCTGAAACCCACGGGGATTCTAATGACAATACAGAACTCCCCTGGAGCAGAATTTTTCAATGTAAGTGGGGTTCTCTTCATCATGCTAAAGTAGACGCACTTGCAAGGTAGTGCTGGCATATATGGTATACTTGCTAAACCCCTCAATCTTCATCTAAATTGGAGGTGAATCTGTTGAGCTGGTAGGCAAGAATATGGGTTGTAAGAGAATATAAGGGTCCCTCCCATCTGCCAACTACTGCATTCTCAACATCTCAGCAAATTATCGGTGTGACAGCAAGCTTGCACAGAAACGTGTGGTTGGACAAGGATATATATTTGCAAATAAATTTATGTGTCCCCGCCTTTGCAATGGCTTCAGATTTAGCTGTAGCTCTAAAACTGCTCTTTTAAATGCATCTATTTTATTCTTTTATGATCACGTATATATGCTGCGATTTATAAACCACAACCTGCACAATTTCTATTTTTGTATTGTTTTACTGTAAGTTGTAAAGTGTATTCTGAAAATTCTGACTTTATTCAAACTGAAAATGTTTCCAGAAACTATTTTTTATTAAAGCTTATTTTGTCACATACATTGCAAGTGTATTATATAAAGTAGGAGGCTTCTATGAAGCAGGCAGGCATAAATGCCAAGTGGGCAGAAGATTGAAGGGCAACCCACTATTTTCATGCAGCAGAATTTTTGTCCATAGAATAGAATTGTAGAGTTGGAAGGGGGTCTTCTAGTCCAACTGCCTGCAATGCAGGAATCCCAACTAAAGCATCCATGGCAGACGGTCATCCAGCCTCTGCTTAAAAACCTCCAAGGAAGTAGAGTCCACCACCTCCAGAGCGAGACCATTCCAGTGTTAAGTTGCTCTTACTGTCAGAAAGATGCTTAGTTGGAATCTCCTTTCTTGTAACTTGAATTCACTGGTTCAGGTTCTACCCTCCACAGAAGAAAACAAGCTTGCTCCATCCTCCATATGACAACCCTTCAGGTATCTGAAGATGGTTATTGTATCTCCTCCCAGTCTCCTCTTATCATACCCAATTCCCTCAACCATTCCTCCTAAGGCTTGGTTTCCAGACCCTTGATCATCGTTATTGCCCTCCTCTGCACAAGTTCCAGCTTGTCAATATCCTTCTTAAATTGTGGTGCCCATAACTAGACACAGTACTTCAAGTGTGTTCTAACCAAGGCAGAATACAACAGTACTATGATGTCCCTTGAACTGGACACATAACTTCTGTTGATGCATCCTAGAATAGCATTAGCATTTTTTACAGCTTCATCACACTGTTGATTCATGTCATGCTTGTGGTCTACTAGGACCACTACTTGCCTACTGGCAAGCCAGATGTCCCCCATCTTATATTTGTGCAGCTGGTAATTCCTGCCTAAGTCCCTATTTCATTTTGTTAGCTTTGGGCCAGTTCTCCAATCTGTTAAGGTCATCTTGAATCCCGATTCTGTCTTCTGCAGCATTAGCTACCCCTCCCAGTTTGGTGTCATGTGCAAATTTGATGATTATCACTCAATTCCTTCATCCAAGTCATTTATAAAGGCGTTGAACAACAACAGATGCAGGACAGAACAAGGAAACATTAGGGGGTATTCTTCGGGTTCCGTCAGCCAACCAGCTACAAATCCAAGTAACTGTCCAGCCCACATTTACCAGTTTCTTTGCAAAGGTATCATAGGGGACTTTGTCAAAGAATTCAAGATACACTTTGTCAAAGAATCAAGATACACTACATCCACAGCACCCCCTGATCCACCAAGTTTATAACTATCAAAAAGAGATTTGTCTTGCATTACTTGTTTTTGAGAAACCCATGTGCAGCATCCTTTTTTAATTGCTCACATTACTTCTTCCCAATGTTCTCAGTACTTCCATTTTGTCGCAGTTCCTCCCTGTTGGTGAGGACCAGGTCCAAGATAGATGAACCCCTTGTTGCTGCTTCTACCTTCTGGGAAAGGAATTTGTCAGTGAGGCAACTGCAGAATTTGCTGGCCCTTACATTCTTGGCAGAGTTTGAGTTCCAACAAACACTGGGGTCGTTGAAATCTCCCATTACTGCCTTCTCTCTCCTTTTTGAACGTTTGGTAATCTGCCATTGGAAGGCATCATCCAAGTCATCAGTCTGGCTTGGAGGTCTACAGTATACACGTTGTTTACATATAATGCTATTTCTCCTCCCCTCCTGTTTGGTCTCCTCCTTTTCAACATGGCAACCCAAAGAGTTCCTTTAGATAGATGTGATAGCTTCCAAAAATGCACTGGGGCTTTCTCATTTCATATTCCAGTGGCAGTTTCTCTGCCAGCACATAAGAAGTCAGGAGGGTGATAAGATGGTGTTCTGGCACACAGGTCTAGTTTGAGCAATCTCAGCCCTATGACAGAAGCAGTGCTCACCACACCAGTCTTTCTCATGGGAACTTAGGTGTATATAAATACAGAACCTTCAAGTTTTATTTTGACCCCTTCTTTACAATAAAACAGGTTAAGATACAACAGTATCTATTATAGAAATCTTGCTTTAAAACTGCTGTACTTTACAAGAAATGCACATTTCTCAACCCTGAAGAGTTCATATCAACCCTATACAAAGAAAGCTTAATTCCTCAGTTCTGTTCACATTTGTTCAACATTTGCTATAATCAATTATGTTATTTCATGCAATAAAAGAATGTGATTCCTGTTATGCAGCTATAATCTGTTACAGTTTGAGATTCAGCCTCTGGAACATTCTGGAGAACAGATCATGTTCTTTGCCCATATATATTCATGGTAATATATTGAACTTTTTTTATTTTTTACATCTGACTGATGGCTCAATCTGTTAAGAAAAGCCCTAAAAAAAAACCCCTGAAGGCAGTATTATTGCACTGAAGGAACATTTAGCAAAGAGCAAAATAAGACTTGTCTATTTCATTGCCTAATTTATTAAAATTAGGGACAGTGCCCTGATGGTAGAAACAGACCATCTTGGAAACAGAACTATGTGGACTTTTGCGGGGGTAGGGGAGGAGGAAACAGAACTATGTGGACTGAAGAAGCATGCTGTTGTCAGGATTTCACACGAAAGGCTCAATTGTGATTTCTAGGGCAGAGCAGGGCATGGTGAGCTCAAATTGGGTGACGACGTCAGGGTGGAGTACTCCTAACTTCCCAATAATCTGCCCTTTTGCAAAGATCTCAGCACAGCGTCCAGGGAAAAAAGCAGGGTCTGAAAGAAAAGAGGGGGAGAGAGAAATGAATGTTTCTCATAATAATAATAATAGTAATAAATAATTATTATTTTATTATTTGTACCCCACCCATCTGACTGGGTTGCCTCAGCCATTCTGGGCACTGAACCTCAAGTAAACATCAAGAGCAGAAGGGTGTGTTACACGAGAATAATTTTTGCTAAAACAATGAAAGATTGCTTCTCTTATCATAGCCCAATTTTATTAATGCTAGAGAAGAAATATTTTTTTGGGGGGGTGGATGAACCCTTAAGTAGACCTGCTTCACATTTCCAGGGCGAAGTGTAAGGGGTTGGACTACTAGATGATGCCTTCCAACTCTACAGTTCTTTGATTCGACATTCGGGGTACAGGTTACAAGCTTTTGCACAGAGTGAGTAAGAATGATGAATCCACCAAAGCTGCTTCATGTATCGTGAAACAAAATATGTCAATGCTTGGACAAATCATAATTCAGCTAAATAAGACTTATGGATGAGCCCCTGTACACAGCTGCTTGACCTTCTCTTCATGCAAGAGGAGAAACAAGCCATGGAGCCAGACTTAATACTAAATGGCTGTTACATTCAAAGCACGGAAACTATGGTTAATGGCTTCCAAGCAAACCAGGATATTAAGACAACTTCATATCATGACTTATTATCCTGGCTTGTTTGGAAGCCATTAACCGTAGTTTCCCAAATGCACATGTTAACAGGCTGCTATAGTTAACTGTGATTCCTGGCTTGATTCACCGATTCCCACAAAATAAGGAAGTCATTCATATACGTGGGCAACGTTCTGTGGGCCAATGATGATTAGTGAAATGGAACTACTAGTCTTAAATAGACAAAATGGCACCAATAAAGGCTTACCCAATTGCAGCTGAAGTGATTTTGTCTCTTGCTGCACCCCCATGTGTAATCAAAATCTCCTGTAACTCATTCAAATCCTCTGAAACTAATAAAACTAAATGACCAATCCATGCATTCTTTTTCTCACGGTAAAGTCACACAGTAACTTTACCATGTAATTCTAATGCAGTGAAATGTTCATGAAACACATGGGAAGAACGCTACAAGATAAGGTCATTTTTAAAAATCTTTCCTCACCCCCGAAAATTGTGGTGGATGTTTCACAGGAATCTACTGTCAAACAAAAACTGTCCACCAAAGACTTTACTGTGTTAAAGAGAGCAGAAACTTGGGGATGGGCACTGTGCCCAAAGCTACAACCTTCACAATCTCTGAAGATGAGAGATCGCCAGAGGTGTATCTAGGGGTTGGGTAAGTTGGCCCCTGCTAAGGGTGCAGGTCAGGGGTGGGGTGCACCCCTCTCGGCGCCTCACCAGAAAAATCTGGACACTGCCGTGGGCTGTCACTACAGCCCTGTAGAGCTCCCTCCCCAGTCGGCCAACAGCACTGGTGGTTACTTTGTGAAATGAGACTCCCCCATGAGGATGTTGCCACCTGGCTCTCTCTCCTAGCACAACCGCTGCTTCCTGCCCTCCATTCCCCCTGCTTGTCCCGAGAGCAGCCTTTCAGCTGATGTAGTAACTGAGAAACGTTAGGTGAGGCTCTGAATTTACCACAGCCGAGTCACTTTCCCCTCGTTTCTTTATGGCCTTGACCAATTTCCATCATAAGAATATTCAGACGTTTGAATTTTACTTTGGTGCCCACAAAATCAAGTTCTTATTGCCACAGACAGAGAATATTTAAAGTGTCCCAGGGCACCCCAAAGGTTGAGGCATGAAGGTATACCATCTCTATAATCTGTAACTAAAAATGGGCAAGGCACCAAGTAGTTTGTAATTAATTCAGATATACACACACACATTGTGGGAACAGAAACTCTAAAACTAGCCTTGTCGTAGGAACACTACATGCAAGCAAGAGACAAAAATCACAGTTCATAGTAAGATTGTCACTTCTAAAATGCTTTGAAGTTCAAAGAATCTGTTATTAAAGCTTTTACACTATGCCCCTAAGAACCAATAATTGCCTGTGTGTTCAGACTGCAGGACCGCTTTGATTATTCAGGGCATAATTCTTTGGCCGCTAATCCAATCAAGTACCTAGTCTTTAGCACATTTTCTGGCTAATTGACCTTCAAAGGGCTTGTTGAATTCTCTGTGTGCTTGCCGGTCAAACACCTTGCATGGCTTTTCTTCTCTTCCCAATTCCTTCCCTTCTTCCCATGTTTGGGAGAAGAAGATTAAAGGGATAATATTGGGTCAGAGTTGGGAAAAGCTTTAGCGATCATAACAATTATATTCTTATAAGGGGATGGGGGAGAGTATCAGAAGTCAACACTTAAGTAACTGAGAAGCAGGAGACATGTTATTCAGCATGACTACTGAAGTCCTGGTCACATTTTCCCTCAGATAAATGGTTATTTCCTGAACATAACTGGAACAAACCAGATGACTGAAATATGGTGTACACAAAGAAACAGTCATAGTCATGCCAGCAAATAACTTATTCTCTGGTGGTTCTCCAGAAAGCCTATAGAAATCCTCCATGGCTGCTCCTGTTCCAGAAGTTTAGCAAACTCTAACCATGCAAGTTACATCCATAAAGCTTAGATTTTGAAGGGTTTACACCCAAATATTTTGTAATATGTATCGAAATGTGACAGTCAAAACTCTGAAATGTCAGTTCACATTAGAAAAAATATGTTACTAAATACATGAATTGTCTTCAATCTTTCAGGGATTAAAATGTAATATCTTTATTTGTTGCTCATTTCATAGCAAAGTGTTTAAGCTTTCCTAAATTTTACTATGTAAATTATTGTTTGATTTTTATCCTGCCCTTCCTCCCAAAGGAGCCCATACATAAACAGAAGTTACGTATTCTCTGCTGCACAAAAGCAATACTTTTACTGGTCATTCTATACGGCATATAAATCTTGTCCATGATTAAATATGGTTTTGCAAGAGAAAACACTATACTCTGCGCACTCAAATATTCCCAAACTGGCATTAGTTACACACTGTCATAAAAAAGAAGAAAAAAAAAAATACCACTTGAAGAACAGGAAATCTGATCTGAGTAAATGGCTTATGCTGGAAGTGAAACAGTTAATAGCCCCCAAAGTTCTTAATAAATGCAAGCCTAATCCCTCAATTCAAGAGCAGCCTCTCATCTCTTTTCATCTCTTTAAGGAACATCAAAAAGAAAAATATTTTACTATACATCTGAATCAGTGGGACAGGTGTAGTAGTCTCAACAGGTAAGAAGATACAAAGTGAAAAGGAATAATTACCTAGTCTGTCCATTCTGGAGTTAGGGGACCTGAACTGTCTTCAAGAAGAAAGAGGTTTGTGCTGCAGTTCTTTGAATAAGTATTCTGTGAACTGCCCTGAGACCTCCAGGTATAGGGCGGTATATAAAGTCAATAAATAATAATAATAAATAACTGTTCTGTAACATCTATAAGGAAGTTTGTTGTTGAAAACATGCCAAAGTTTCCATTAACTATTTCCCAACATCTGAAATTCACTACCTTGCTTCTGCACTTTCCCAGTGTTAACTCCCTGTAAAAGAATTTAGCTTATCAACAATAATCGCAGTCGATCAAAAGCAACCACGGTTTACAGAGACAGTAAAAATAAATTGCCCACAGACTTGGTTTTCCCAGGCAAAATACTAGAGTTGCATTCTTCAAATGCAGAATCCTACACACTTCTTTACTTACTTGCAATGAACTTATTGAAGGAAAACATATTACTGTAGTTCTGGGCAGATGACTCAAAACTTTGTACAAAGCCAACATGTGGAAAGAGTGAGAGGGGGACTGAGGCAACAGAATGCACCCACAATTTCCACCCATAAATCATACCTTATACACAGAGCTGCTGGGTGTCAAATGGGTGCTTATATTATAGGCAGCTTACTTCTCTGTGGAGTGTAAACAGACAGTATTTCGGAGGTTGGTTTGTTCTTCCTAAGTATGTCTGATGTTCTCTACCCTTGTGATCCCTAAGACAAGATGTACTCCACTTGCTAGTGCTAGTTACCTTGAATGCACAAGACTTTTCATATGATTTGAAAGTACCAAACAAGATAAAGTTCTCCACTACAGAATTCGTCTCTTGAATATCTTCAAGGTGATGCTGACAGTTTAATGGGAAGGTCTCAAAGCACAACTGGGGCTTGTGTGGGAAGATGTCTCAGTATATGGATGGATTTTGCTGATGGCTTCAGCACCGTGTGACTTGCCTAGATTGGCATGGAGATTATATTTTAGGGTCAGAATTTTGACACACCAACATATTTAGCAAGAACTATGCTAGTATTTTTTCAGTGGCTTCAGGGACAGACAAAGCCTCACAAACACTGTGCCAGCTTTCCACTGATTTCTTGTGAGCCCACTTCACAGGTAGGACTGTCTGAGAACGACAAAAATATGACAAATCAAATCAAGATATGAACATGAGCCATGTTGGGCTGGGACCTGAGAGACCAGGGTTCAAATCCCCACTCAACCATGAAGCTCACTGGGTGGATTTGGGTCAGTCACCATCTCTTATAATAATAATAATTTATTACTTATACCCTGCCCGTCTGGCCGGGCCTCCCCAGCCACTCTGGGCAGCTCCCAACAGAATATTAAAAACATGATAAAACATCAAACATTAAAAACTTCCCTAAACAGGATTGCCTTCAGATGTCTTCTAAAAGTCAGGTAGTTGTTTATTCCTTGACATCTGATAGGAGGGTGTTCCCACAAGGCAGGCGCCAGTACCAAGAAGGCCCTCTGCCTGGTTCCCTGCAACCTCACCTCCTGTAGTGAGAGAACCACCAGAAGGCCCTTGGAGCTGAACCTCAGTGTCCGGGCTGAACGATGGGGGTGTTGGGATACTGCCAGCAAGACAGAGGCAATCAGGTAGGCCTCCATCGTCGTCTCTGGACGATCTCCGTTCTCCCATTGGAACAGTATCAGTCAATTAGCGACACGAGCCTCAGACACATTCCAAGACTCGTGCACACACTTTTTGCAGAGTTTCCACAACGGAAGATTCACCCAGAAGAGCATATTTACAGCTTTATTCAACGTTGGTCAGAACAAAGGAAAAACATGACTGCTTGCATTCGGGTCGAGGAAAACAGCCAGAAAATAAAAGACATTCTGCAGACCACCTGAATGAAGCTTCTGAAGGACCACTGGCAGTTCACGCTCCACAGTTTGGAAACCCCTGTCCTGGGAGGTCACTAACTTGCACATTATGTAGGGAGAATTACAGCACATTATGCTCCTTTCACCGATCCCAATAAAGGGAACAGAGTGACAGATTTTGATCTCAACACAATAAAGTGTTTGATCTCATGGCAGAGTGTCTAGAGCTTTCCCCTGTGGCTGTGAAACATTTCAAATGACCTCTAGTGAGAGAACTAAGTAAACTGCAGAACATCAATACAAATTCAGGAAGAAACACACCTAGAAGCAGTCTTTTCATGGACTTGGAATCCTACCTCCTTCTAACAGTCTCTACATTTACCCTTTCCACAGATGAATGTAAAAAAAATTAAATTAATAATAATAAATGAACTATGTCCTGCCTCTATTCCATGATGGAACTCAATACAGTATATAGAAACTTTCTAGATAGCCTCCCATCCAGTCTCAGAACTGTTTAGTTTAAGCAAGGTTGCCTCATCTTGTGCCTTCTGACAATGTCCTGGGACCAGTTAGAACCAATTCATAACAGGATAGGAGAGATTATATGTAGCAGTAGGTGGGAGGTTCTCTCCCTTTGTATCACCCTAAACACTTGCCATTACATAAACATTTAAGCTGGTTCACCAGCTTGCAGTTGCTCCTATAACTCAAGTTACTGTAGGATTTATAAGGTTCAGTAGTTCATTTTTCAGGCTTTAAGAAATATAAGAGATTTGTGCTGCAGTTCTTTATATATATATGTGTGTGTGTGTGTGTGTGTGTGTGTGTGTGTGGCAGAAAACTAGCTTATTAGGTTTGCATAATGCCTGACTAAAACAGCCTGCAACACATTTGTAACGCAAAAACCATTACAAACTATAGATTATAGTGTGACAAATCAAATACAAATGTTTCATATTTTGGTTTCTTTGTTAGGAGTTTATTACAAACAGCATGCTTTTATATATTTTTCTTTAAAAAAAAAGTTGCAGCTTAACTTCTGACACATCTTACCAATCTCCAAGACTCCAAGGAAAAAGGCAGGATGCAGAAATTATTCCCCAGCAAACTGCTTTGTGGCCAATCAAAGAACTAGTTGTGGACCTGGCAATAATTTAACTACCACCACTGCATGGAGCCCCAGCATGACCTGTGGGAGATTATACGGAAAATGGCCATAGGCTCAGAAATGGAAAAAAACAACAACTGAGGTGTAATCCCTGCTCTGGGAACACAAGAGGAAGGGGTGGGGAATCCATTTCAAATTACCAACTGTCCCCCAGTATAATAATCAATGGAGTAAACTGAGAATGTATCCTATTGTGAAAGGTCTCAAACAGCATTGAGACTGGTTGCTTCTGAGACTATTATTTAACATTTTCATCAAGTGCTAAGTGCAGCATGATCAATGGGTATGGCCAGGTGGACATCTCAAAATGACATTGAGATTCTTGGAACATTACAACAAAGGTCATATTGTAGTTGTGAGAGTTGTTTTCCATTTGATGGTAATACAAATGTGCAGCGCATATTTCAAAAATTGCAAATAACTCTGACTGACTGCCAAACCTTAAATGAAAAGCTGTCATTGCGATTTACTGTCATTAGGATTTTCCACACTGCGCCACACCTTCAATTAAACAAATGGAGCCCAGAAATAGAAAGAAGTGGAACACTGCTGAGATGCATCACCAGCGTTATTGCACAACTTTCCCAATGAGCACTGAAGAAGGTCCAAGACTTTAGAATGAGGCATTTACATCTCAGCTGTCAGGCTTCCAAGCGTATCTACATTATTAGGGCCACACATGGAACCTGATGTTCATGCAAAGCAGATCATACAAAGATATCAGAGTCTGCAGGCCTGATATTTTTCTCCTGCCCACCTGCCAGCCTCAAAATGCTCTCCAGAACACTAAGAGGCCTTCCTGAACTGCAGTGTCTGCAGTACATGACTGCTTGTGACAGAATCAACTGAAACCTGATGAAGGAACCTTACATAACCAAGGAGCTCTGCTTGTGCAATGAAAAGAGTAGATATCATCTCCTCTGCCAGTAACTGCCTCTAAAGCCTTATGCTGTGATTCTTTCTAGCTATGAGAGATCGTTTTAACTGGAGAGGATGGGGGGGCACCTTCTGTTTTGAGCAAAGATCTCTACTTTTTGAAAATCATGGGAGGGTTTTAAAAATGTATTTCTTTCATTTAACCCTACCTAACCCTGCTCTTCCTCTGAAGAGTTCAATGATGCTTAGATATGGTTCCCAGACAGCTTTCTATCCAAGCAGCTTACAGGACCAGACATGCTTTGATTCTGTGTTAGACTGTATCATGTACCTTTGGACAGTTCTCAGGATCTAAAGTGGCAGTCCTCATGCATATACCTGGCAGAAGAAAGGACATGCCCGAAAAGGGACTTGAACCCTGAATACTAAGATTTCAAGGTTGATATTCTAAAAGTTTAACAATTCAGGCCTTTAGACAGAAAAAACAAGTATGGGAAGGGGAAGCTTCTCGTCCATGTGTGCCCATAAACGTATATTTAATCTATTTATGGATCAATCAAGGAACACTGAATGTAAAGACAGCACGTGACAGTCTCTAAGCTACGCAAAATGTAGTTTACAGTAATAGTCTGCTAATTTCAATGGAAAGCTTGTTTCATATCGTTTAACAAGTTAATTTAGAAAATTGCAATTAAGTTTTTGAAAGGGGTGCTAAATTTTGGAGATGTATTTATGACTCTTAATAAGTGTCAGATGGTAAATATTTGGGATTGTCCCAGAATCCTTTCATAAAGGAGTATGGTTTCATCTTTAATAAAACTTGATCACTCAAGGCTAAAATTCTCTCCCAATATACTGCAGGGGTCCAGTTACACTAAACATCAGTGTGAAGGCCTGGGGAACATCACAATTTCACCCATATTTTCAAGCATCTGTAATTGTTGCACAGGTGTTGCTGCAAGGGCAAAAAGGTTGTGACCCTGAGATTAACTTAATGGATATTTAGGTATTACGGGAACAGAAGGTGATCTAATAACCGTGGTGTGCACATATGGAACAAGAACGAACATATACAGTAAACAGACACCTATTCTAAATTATGAAATGAGTCAGATCATTACACAGATCTTAGCAAGGCTTTTATATTAAAAATGTACAAAGTTTTAACTGAAGTCACATCCTTGCAACGCACACACTGAATGAAGTACAAGAATTAAACAAAAGAACATCCTTATTGCAATTTATAGGGCAATTTTAATGACTGGTTGACAACTACACAGCTAAGCTTCATCTCCCTCCCTCTTTTATAAAAGCTACTAGAAATTTGTAGCTCAACCTAACTTTGAAAGACACAGGCACTTCGTCATCGCCCATCACCCCCCCCCCCAGTTTAAATATAAACACACCTCAGAGAGCTATTTTCAGCTCATTTTAAAAAGTGCATTAGGGACTCTCATTCTTATGGATAAAAAAGGATGGCCTCGTGCTACTGTCCATTGGACATTCAGTTCCTCATGTTTCATTCAAATGGTATGAAGTAAAAAAACCCCGCTGTACTTCACAAACACCTGAGGTTCCAGGAGGAAAATTGTGGTGCAACACTGTATCAACCTACCACCTGTATTGTTAGAAAGATCACTTCGCTGCACTGAAGAACTACAGAGCGACCAGAAGGAACATGGCCTCCTTACCCCAATTTTGGGAATTTACCTCTCTTCAATGGCCATGTGTCCCCATCTCTCTCTGTTCAGGAGAGTTCCCCCAAACTTCTGAAGAGTTTTTTGGGAGGTGAAGGGGCTAGAGGGATGGGAAATTCATTGCTGCTTCCTTCTGCTTGCACTACAAGACAAGTCATTGTCTCCAAATAATTGCTTTACTAGATAGGCAGTATATAAGGCTCTGATCCACCTGTTCAGCAACTACATGCAGGTAGGGTCCCTGGCATTTTCTGTGCTCCCCTTACCTTCAGTTGCTTTAATGTAATATCCCTTCTCTTTACTTGGTGGGATATCCAGCAGCTGCATGACTCTATCCAGCAATCCATGAATTATCTCGAAACCAGGGTTTTTGTTATAGTAGACAGCACAAAGATGCCTATGGTTTCTTGTACCGACATCTGGAGAAGAAAGAGGAAACCAAAATTATTGGCTTTGCACAGACTGCATTTTATTGCTCTTGCCTGCTTTAATCCAATTTTGTATCAGTGTTTATTTACAGTTACACACTGACCATCTGTAGATCAAAAGAAAAATACAGAATGTAGTAACTTATTAAATAAAAGTAAATAATTAAGAACAAGCAAAAATAAATGGTCTTTTCTGAGGCTTAGTTCTTTTGCAGTATAAAACTGTGTTTGAATTGTACCACTTCAGACTAGTTGCGAGCGTTGTCAAGACTGAATCTTTGACTTTTTAAAAAAAAGAACATTCCAACTCATAGAAATCTAGCATGTCAGGAAAAATCATTTTAGCCTAGCCTTCTCCTTGGCATGCTGATTTTTGCTGTAGTGTCTAAACACCACAATTATACACAGTTTAGTGTGATCTGAACAAGGCCTCAAAGGTCCTCAGGCTCATCCTCATCAATGGAAGAACGAAGCATATAAAATGCAATGAAAAACACAACTAGCATATACTGTAACAACAACAAATTTAAACCTCCACCTGCAGTCTGAAATGACACAGTCCAGGCAGAGCTTTATTACCACAGAGAGAACTCGGCCAAAGTCTGAGTCATATCCAGGCAGTACTAACAGCTCTAGATGTCTCTCCCTCTTTCTCTCTCTCTCTCTCTCTCTCACACACACACACACACACTCATGACATCCAGATTTGAAATATTGTACTTGATTATGAAGTTCATTCATTACAGACCAAATAGAGTGTTTGCTGCCAAATCTAAGCTAAGCTTTCTCAGTTCATTCTAACTAACTCAAAAACTATGGCGTCATTCCACAAAACAATTCTGCTGTGTTTTTAAAAATGGACCAGCCAAATATATTAACATAAATTTCATATGTATTGTAGTGACTTCAAAGCACTGTCTGAAAAACCTGTTTAATACAATTTGCGAGCCAAGAAAACGCAATGAGAAATAAAATTGGTAAACGCTGCCCTCTAGCAACAAAATTTCATAAGACACTTGCATTTGGGTGAAGTACATCTTTTTTTTACCATGTTGTTATACAAGGTCTCCAAATGATTAGTTAAGACCCATGAATGATCTAATTGCAAAGCTCTACATAGGGCTCCTGAAACATGGCGGATAGAATAAGTAAAAGGACACGTGATTTAAAATATCAATTCAAAAGAGAGACATTTCAATAAAAACAGAGAGCTATTGTATAATCATCAACTTTACCCACTGAGTAAGTATATGCTGAAAGCATATCATCCAATCTAGCACAAAAGCAGAGCGGCCACCTGCAAGGGGATTTCCTGACATTCAACAGAGCCCTGTTTCTCCTTCTGCACCTATGTGGATGCATGAGAGGACTCAGCTAGTGCAACAGGCCATGGCAAGTCTATTTGTGCCTTCCAATGCATACCTCTATGCTGTAGCAAGCAGAGCGGAAAGGCTGAACAGGGATATGGTACTTCTCATTCCTCCTGATGCGCTGGCTGAGCACACCCATGTATGAACCCATGGCAGAGGGAAAACAGGAGATCTATCAGTGCGCTCAGGTGGGACTCAATCATGCCCTTGGTTTCTGAAGACATTAGCATTTACTGAGATTATCTTACCTATGGTGGAATCTTTCACTACAATGTCAGAGATTTCAAAGAGTTTCAGAGGTAAAGGCATTTTCCTGTTAGCGGCAATAGTTTTCAGAAGACCAGGCAAGAGAGTAGTGCGCGCCACCTGTAGGGCACATAGGGAACTTTATATATTAAACTTGTCTCTATAGGTAAGAACAGGGGTCAGCAAACTTTTTCAGCAAGGGGCCGGTCCACTGTCCCTCAGACCTTGTGGGGGGCCGGACTATATTTTGAAGGGAAAAAATGACTGAATTCCTATGCCCCACAAATAGCCCAGAGATGCATTTTAAATAAAAGGACACATTCTACTCATGTAAAAACATGCTGATTCCCAGACCGTCCGTAGGCTGGATTTAGAAGGCAATTGAGCCGGATCTGGCCCCCGGGCTTTAGTTTGCCTACCCATGGGTAAGAACATCTCCAACTGAGAGCAAGACGTGGCAACATACACAAGAATCAAGTATCAGCATTAATAGGAAATATATTTATTTCTCCCTTATTTCTCCCCTACACTTCAGCAATTCCCAGCCTCTTACAGTCCGCCAACACAGACCAACATTTGCAGGACTGTCTATGTAGTAATTATCTAAAACAAACTGCCTGTGGAAAAAAGCAATACTATTAAACTGGACTGAAATTAAATATTGCAAAAGATACTCAGGACTGACCACAAACAATGCTACCTATAAAACATGGCCTATGAAAGGCTTCTGATTGACATATTTCATACTTATATGCCACAGTAAATAAAAGTTTTTCATTGGCCATAACTCATTTAGAGTTACAGGCAACAAGCAGTTTTGTATTCTAGCCTAAAACTCAATTTATAATCCTCACCTGAAATTCTGCTGTTTTGGGATTTGCTATATGCACAGCTTTCGTTGTAGAGATGTCAACTCCCAGTTTATTAGCAATGTCTTCTTGGGAACACTGATATGAAAAGAAACAAATTAATTTAAACCCAACCAAGTTAAATAGAACTCAATTTCAAAAATTACTAATAGCAAAAAATAAATATCTAGGAATGGTCAGGATATGAAGGCTGCCAACACTAAATCTAACCGGGCAGGTCTGTGTTTAACTTTTTAAATTTGAACATGTAGTGTTGTATTTCAACACTAGTTATGTTATCTATTAATTTAGTACATTTGTTAGCCATTTTCTGGCATAAGCTCCTGAGAGGGTGCAATCTTAAAAACACAAGAAATCTGAATATAATCCAGCCAAACCATAAAACAACAATGGAAACTAGCTATTCAAGATACTGGAAAAACAGAAGCATTTGCCTGGAACCAGAAATTCATCAAACTTATTGTCCAGTGAGCTTCACTGGTAAAGCATGCCAAACGCAGCACACCAAGTCCTCCCTTGGGTCACCAACTGCCTCCCCTCAAATAATGGCAGAACTCAAAGGAGAACCTCTGATGAAGAATATATAGTTTTGGACAGATTTTTTAGGACAAAGGCTGGTCCTTCAGAAAGCCAGGTCTCAAGTTGCTTACAGCTTCAATAGTTAACATATTTAACAGTGAACTGTGCCTAAAAATGGACATTGCAGCTGTTTTAAGAGCAGGTGAGATGTTCTCTGTAAGACTGGGGTGTGGAACGCATGACCCTCCAGACGTTATTGGACCGGGCCTGAGGAGTTCCTTTTGGCTCAGGTATTAGCAGATCTATCAGTCAAGCTCCACTCTCTTTGATGTAGGACAGGACCAGCATAACTTACTGCCCCTCCAGAAAAGATGTTTCCAACAGGGCCTCAGTTCTGCAGAATCACTCTTAACATCATTGTGCAATGGGCAGCTTGCTCTCTTACTGGCCACAACCTTCCCAAAAGGAAGGTTCTTTATTTTTCATTTTCTCTCTTCATCCTGCTGATAAGCTCAGGCAGGGTCTTAGAACTCAAAAAACCAGAGCAACTATTCCTTTTTCACAGCTATGAAATTTGTTTACACTGAAACATTAGCAAATCGGAGCCTGACAAAATGATCATACACCACTGCTGCTGCCTGAATCCTCATTGAGATTATAGCAGTCTTAAATAGTTCTTTAACACGCACCAGAGAAAAAGTGAGCACTTCGGTAAAGCCTGCCGCTGCCAAATCTTGTCTCAGAAGTTCTGTGAGCTTATTGAGAGGAAGCTAGAGGGAACAGAAAATAATTTTGTCATCTTTCAGCTCAATGAATATCATGGAAAAGCGAGAACGGCTTTTCAAAAAAGGTGATCCCAAACAGCTACATCTGGCCTTGACTGAAGAAATGCAGTTCCCAGTTAGAGATTTAATATGGCCTCCAGGTTTAAATGTTGCCCTCCCCCTCCCCAAGCCCATGCACTGCAGGTCTTTGGAGTTTCTCAGATCAGTTGGGCATCTGTTTTGTATCCCTGCTACAGTAAACTCCCATTGCTAGAAGACATGACAGAATATTGTTTTAATTCTTAGGCACAGTTTTCTTCTAAGAACCCTTCTGGCATACTTCTAGCCTTTAAACTGACAATACAGACTGTTTACTTAAGGGTGCAATCTTACTTGATTAGCTATGGTGTATGTTTTCGGAATAGTCATCTGAATGTTATTATAGCCATACGCTATTGCTGCGTCTTCTATGATATCACATGCATGGATAATGTCAGCTCTGGTAGGAGGGATTTCAACCTCTATATTGTTCCCATTCGCTATGACGTGTGACTTCAAACACATCCTGGTGAGCAGCTTTGCAAGGTTTGATGGAGTCTCACTAAAACATAAGCAAGAGTAATTTTTAAAGGAAAATATCACATGGTTTCATTCTGAAGCCACTGCCTTTCATTTTCACAGCGATCAAGCTAAAAAAAATGCCAAGACTCACAAATCAATCCAGGAGATAAAATAGTAGTATTTTGCTGCACAATAGCAAACCTTATGATACTTGGTGTTGAACAAGTCCTTAAGACCTTTAAAAAACGAAACAAAAAAACTGGCATTTCAAGCAAATATCGTTACCCCCCTCAACTTGCACCAACATTTATCCTCTCACACTTATGAGAGGAAGTACACAAACAGGAGTTTGAAAAGTTGCACACAAGAGAAATTGTGGAGTAATTAAAATGTCCCAGTTCTCAAACGGACTGGTTTCATCCAATAAAGTGAAGCCTAAGTAAAAGATGAATAGTGCCTGTTCCTGACTGGAGCTCCCGCTAGAATTATATTATCTTTTGTGTATTCTCTTTTTATTTCTCGAGGGATCAGGGGTTGTATGGTGCAGTGCAGCAGTGTATAATTATGGTGTTCTACGGTACTATCACTGTTGAAAGGTACTATGCAACTACAATGTCCCTGATAGAAGGTCAACCAGCCTAAAATAGGAATAGGCTGCTTTGCGACGGACAGCACATATTTGGATACAATGAATCAGCGTTCCCTTATCCTGGTGTCTTCTAATCGATTTTGGACAACAGCTCCCATCAGCCCCAGTCAGCATGGCCAACTATCAGAGATGATGCAAGCTGTAATTTAATAACATCTGAAGGGCATCAGGTTGGGGAATAAAGCGCAATAAAGGCAGACAGCATCCGATGACTAAAGGCTCAAATGGCAACATGGTTGTCCCCTCCATACCTAAACCAATGCTGTGATACAAAACATACTGTCAGGGGCTCAGGAGCAGAGACACAGGGGAGAGAGGGGATGGAGAGCGAAGGGGAAGAATCTGAGGGCAGCATAGGGGAGTATGAAAGCGGCCCGAGAGATTCCATGAGTCTCTCCAGCGAATCAGAAGATTCCCAGAGGGGGGCGCCGATGGCCAGGGCAAGGGGGGTCCCAGGGGGGGACACACCAGAAGCAAGGGGCCAGCGGGGACTCCCAAAGCAGCAGCGGGAGAGCAGGACCAGCTCCTCCACCAGAGCGTAGTGAGGGGGAAGAGTCACATGTATCAGGGCCAGCTTCTCCTCCAGCAGGGAGAGAGGATGAGTCAGAGGTGGCCACGCCTCCATCGCAGAGTGAGGGAATGGAGGGAGAGTCAGGTGCAGCTAGCCTCCCCGAAGGGGGAAGCAGTGACAGGAGCAGTGTAACGGTCAGGAGGAAGGTGGCCGGCTGGGCGCGCGTGCCAAGTTCGAATGTACAGGCGCGCGGCACAGCAGGAAACCCGGATGGGGAACCAGGTCCTAAAGCCCGCCGGAGGGAGGGGGAGGACTCAGGAGACTCAGCGTGAGAAGAGTCTAGGAGAGGCGAGACCCCAGCGGACAGGCGGGCCCAGAGGAGAAGAGAGCAGAGGAAGAGGTGGAGCAAGGCTAGAGTCTTAAACTGGTGTCTGGGGGGAGGAGACTCAAACGGAGCTTCGGCGGTCTAGAGTTTGAGACGTAGAGCTGTGCGCCGCGGCTGTGAAAAAGAAACTGAGCTTCAATAAAGACTGTTTTATATAACAACGAACTGGCGTTGGTCCTTTGTGAGCTGGGACCTAGGGCAGCTCTGACACATACCATCTCCAATCTCCCAAGTACCTTAGAACTGGACACCTAAATTTCATAGCACTATCATCAAAATGGAAGAGAGCAGTCCCAGGAGCAGAAAGGTTTTAGAAGTTCAGCAGAACAGAGACATACACCTTAGCATGGGTCCCAGTTTGGCCCATAAGGCCATTTCCCCCAAACTAAACCCACCCACCCCACACCTGATGCCAGCTGCCAATCCAAACCACGAGCCTTAAAGTGTTTTCCTGATTGTGCATTAACAAGAGAGGTTTGCTCTCACTGTCAGTCAGGGGAACACAGCAGTGCAACTGATCCCAGAAGAAAGCAGATCCTGGTGGCAACTTCAAGCTCCCTGGAATCCCATGGGGAGCTTCATAGCCAGTCAGTCTTTGAAGGGATCTGCCAAGAGCCCTGCTCAGTACTATCAACCAGCTGATCAACAGGACCTCAAAGCGCCGTGCCGAACTCTTTGCGACATCAGGTGGTTGACTAATTTGACCTGCAAATGATATGGGAAGGAAGGACATGGCCCAATAGCCAGATCCAATTCCCAGCTCTTGTTGTACAGATTAAGATTTCAGGTGCAGCATGGCTGGATGAGATCATGTGCCCCTGAATCTGAGCACTGACATATGGGAGATGATTGGCCTTTAATTTATTTAATTTGTATATTGCCCTTCATCCACAGATCTCAGGGTAGTTCACAACATAAAAATACAATATAAAAAACACAAAACACATAATAGAAACAAGAGCAAACCCCCCCCCCCCAATAGACGAATACCCCTGCTCCCTCACCTCCTTCCACAAACACATTTAAAAGGGTATAGGATGTTAATCAGCCAAAGGGCTGGTTGAAGGGGAACATTTTTGCCTGGCGCCTGAAGGTGTATAATGAAGGTGCCAGGGTGGGGAGAGCATTCCACAAATAGAGCCACTACTGAGTGACAGATTTCCTGGTAGCAATGCTATAGCTAAAGAAGTATTTCAGTGGAACAGTAATACTAGTAGAGAATGTTGAATGTGTTGGGATTCCATTCCACCCTTTGCTGCAGACATGGGTTTTTTACATGTCACATGTCTGTTTACATTCCAGCACAGATTGCTTGTGTGAGCGGAACTTCCACTCTGTATTGCTTTTGTTTTTAGTCTCTCTCCGAGAAGACGGCAAAGAGAGATACCATGTTTTCTTTGTCCTGATTTATGTATAATAAATGTGTAGTTTAGTATGTGCCTACAGCCTCAAGCCTCTTCTGTTGCGCAGTTCACACTGCTGAGTAAAGTGTGCTCAAGTCTGCAAGCTTGAGTCACTGATGTACATCGGAGCAGAGGACGATGAATCTCTGCATCGGCAAGGCTGAGGGGAGATGCTCCAGCTGGGGCCGAGCCAGCTGGCCTTTCGACCCCCCGATTCCGACAGGATGGGTCCATACTTGACTTCATTGTCAAGTGTTTGTCTTTGTTCCTCCCGATGAGGAAAAACTATACCTTGCATTTCTGTCCCCAAATGAGTCCCACTAACACGACACATGGCAAGTGCTTTGGAATATCATGATATAGTACATGGCACCTTAGAATGCTTTTACGGGATGCTATATTATGTTATAGGTTTAATATGGTTGTGTTTCAGTGATGCATCAAGACTGTGTTTCTCACTTTAAGGTTATGCATGTTATTCAACCACTCCTTTGTTTTAACAAAGGGTGATATGTAAATAAAGCAGCAACAACAACAAATAAAAAGGTACAGTTTTGGAGCAACAGTACACATCCATTCAGAACTATCCAAGGAGAACGATTACTGAATGGTGGGTGCAACATTTATTCAGAGCAGTAGTTGGCACTGTGGTATTTTGTAACGTCATCATGATAGTTCTCTAGCCTGTAGCATCACACACTGAGTTCATTAATACGTACAACAGAACACTTTGAGACTTGAAATTTAAATAAAGTGGTTCTTGGCTCTACCAAACAAATTTTCATTATGTTATTATTTTATTTTAGTTGGATTTTTTTGTTGTATTTTGATATTTAACTGTATATCCAAAAAGTGGGTTATATATCATAAAATATGGATCTCTGGGGTTTAAGCACCTCTCTGTATTCTCACCAGATCCTAAAAATGTATAAACCTAACAAGCATTAAAAATGTGACACAAATGCTGTCAATGGAACTATGTGCACCCTTCAAAGGAAGACAAGAGATTTAGCAAACCTAATTCCGATTTTCTTATTCAGTATTTCAGGCTTTATCTTTTCACGACGATAAGCCAGCTCCTGCAAAGAAGAGAGGAAGTTTTAAGTATAGAAATCTATTTTCTCTCTAAGTGTATCACTCTCCTACATACGTAATTAAAAACCTACGGGGCATTTATGTGCCACTCAGCACCCAGAACAATCCAGAGCATGTTGGCAGAAGACCAGAAAGCCTACCTGGACAGAGTGAAGCAAGCTGCTTGAGGTGGCAGGATGAAGGTAGGGGTGGGAGGGGCAGAACACACAGGATGGGGCAACCAGTCATTTTAAAGTACTGGCCCTTGTGGGGAACTATTTAGGCTCCACTTCAGGTAGCAAAGCATCTTGGACTGGCATTGCACTTGAAGATGGTAAGGGGGACAGTTTTGGGGAAATAGTTGGAACATTACCCTGTAAAAGAACTCTATGAAGTGCAAGGGAACAAACAAGGGTTGATACCCAAAGTGCTCTGCAGCAGACATGCAAGCCGGGAAAGAGAAAATACACCCTGTCTTATGACTCCTTTCAAAAAGTGGGTCCATCAATGAGTATTTATTAGTTTGCATTTATGAAAACAAAGCTCCGGTTGCATCGCTTCTGCAATACTCACTGGAAAATTGTAGCTTTTTCCATTAGGGTAAGTTACTTCTGCTGCTTCAACACTGGAGGAGGGAAAAGCAAACAATGTTTAACTTGCGGGATACAGAAGACATGAACATTTTTGGTTTTGGTTTTAAGTGCTAAGGTTAACTCATGTGAAGTCAAATCAGTAATGATTAAATGGGCACAGGATTTAGGTCATAATATACAATCTGAAGACTGGATAAGACTTTGGAAAGTGAATTTGAAATTTACGGATTGTATATTGTTGAAAGAGAATTACATGAAAATGATGTATAGATGGTACATTACACCAGTAAAACTGGCAAAAATGTATAGAGCAGAACAAAAAAACTGTTGGAGATGTAAGGAAGGGGAAGGTACATTTTATCATATGTGGTGGGATTGCAGAATCATTAAAAACTTTTGGGAAATGATATATAATGAATTAAAAAAAAATGTTTAAGATTATATTTGTTAAAAAACCAGAAGCTTTTCTCTTAGGTATTTTAGGACAAGAATTGTTGAAAGAAAAACGGAATCTATTTATGTATGTGACAACAGCGGCAAGAATCTTAATAGCTCAAAACTGGAAGACTGGAGAAGTACCATCAAAAGCACAATGGCAAGAAAAGTTGATGAACTATGCAGAACTGGCCAAGTTAATGGGCAAATTGCATGAAAAGGATAATAGTGACTTTGAAAAAGAATGGGAACCTTTTACAATATATTTGCAGAAACGAGAAGAAGAAATGATCTCGTTGGCTGGATTTAAATAAACATTTACAACTTTATTTACTGAGAACAAGAAGTATAACAATGTGATAACATATTAAAGTATACAAACAGCAGAATGTATCATTTGATGTAACAAATCAGGAATGGTAGTTGATGGAAGTCAACAGGGAGGGAGAAAATTGGAAAATGTATGTTTAGTAATGTTATTGGTTATTTGTTATGAGAAAAGAAACTTAATTTAAAAAAAAATTTAAAAGGTTAACTCACGTGAATGGCTTCTGACAGTATTCACTGAACATTGTGACAAGGATGTCAAGGACAATCTTCGCCTTTAAGAAAGATTATATATATACTGTTTAGTTTCATGTACATATTTTAAATACAAGACTACAATGTTAGCTCACAATAAGATACTAAAGCAGTGTATCACCTTTAAAAACTAACTGCTCCCCTCCCTGCCCAAAAAGCGAGGCAAGAGTTATCCAACCCAATCCCATTGGTTGAAGTCAACAGATTTTCCTGAAAATGAAGTGAGTGGGTGCCTGTGGCTGGCAGACGAGAGCATCAAGTGGATTATTGCTCTAAAATTAAATGTCCAGAGGAATAATCAGTCCAACAACAACTATGAGATTGTAGGATCTGGTGACTCCATAAACACCACCCTAAACTCTCATATAGACTTTGCCGAATATCTATTTCTAGAGATTAATGTATGCTAGCAGCTTAGGTCAGCTTCAAAGATGAACCATTTCCAATTTACTTTGCAAATCGGAATTATACTTTCAGCAGAATTATACTGTTCAGCATCTTGCTGCTTTATCAAGCTTATTTACCTTGGTAAGATCTGTGGCTGTACATTCAATGAACACATTTCTGGTGTTTAGACTTATTTTTGTATGGTCCCCTGGAAAATACAGATGCAGACATTTGAAGTTGTTTGATGCTGCAAGAGTGCTTTTATTTAAAATATTGGCAGGATTCTAGACCTTGCCAATTCCCCCCCCCCCCATACAGCAAAGACTTCACCTCAACTGAACACTGAAATTAGAGTTACAATTTGGTCCTGACAGGCATACTGATGTAATATGTACATTTCTGAACAACACTTTGTTACACTTTACATTTCCTTTTCTCAGATTTCTACACTTTTAAAACAGAGCTTATATTCTTCTTTTAATATAGATTTGAGAGAATCAGACAGTGAGAATAGATTAAAAACCCTCTCAAAAACAGAAAAGGTTACTATGCAACACAGGTTTCAACAAAGAGGTAATATCATAACTGTATTGGTATAAGCAAAATAATGAACTTCACCAGACCCTAACAGAAGAAGAAAATCATGAGGTAGCAGATAGAAAGTACTAAATTAACACAAAATAAAAAAAGCACAATCTTACCATTAATTATCGGTGGCATTGAAAGCACAACACCATTGCTATCATAGATAACTGGGTAAAGGGGTTCATTTTCAATAATGTGTAGATAATGCCTCAGATGGCTATCCGTCTAAAACAAATAAAGCAGAAATATTTACATTTCTTTCCTAAGCAGTTACTGCAAGGTATCATCCTGCGATTGTAGCACCACGATATTATTTAAACAAAAGGAAAACATAACACTGCTGCTTCTAACAGATGTGTTTCATTCCTAGGATAAAAAAAACGAAAAAACATATGCTGAAGTTTCTCCAGAGAAAACATGCATGGGAAAAAATGTGAATTGAGCATCATTATGTTGTTTGGTTCACCAATGTAACTTTCTTCCATGTATTTTGCTTTAGTCATATTTTTCTTAAACTCCCTATCAATTCCAAAACTGGTATCCTATGTAGTATGGGGAGCTAATGGGGGGGGAATGAAACCTCATTGTACACAGAGTACTAGTTGCATCATCTTCTAAATTAGGGCAGTCCAAATTTTCATACCAAGTGGGCCACAAGAGTAGTTCAACACACACTGGATTAAATTTCCGTATCATAAATTAAAATGCTCACAATATATGTAAAATTAATATACACAATTAATATTATGTGTGTGTGTCTGTGTGTACACACAAGCACACATAATTAATAGTTAATTATTTAATATTTAATTATTAAACAAATTTAATACACAAATAAATGTGCTTTCATGAATAATGAATGACACAAAAATATTTTTTAAAGGCTTTAAGATTTTTTTTCTTGAATGCCGCTGAGCGCTGCCAAAAAAGGCCTCGCAGACCACCCTGTCTAAATTGTGAACAATGTCTCTACACCTGCATTTTTCTTGAAGATACATCTTATTGATTTGTAGTCACCTACCCTGTACAGATCCATGATTTCAGAAGCATTGTATTCCTTGTCCTGATTCAAAGGTTTGAATTTAATTTCAGATGGCGGCTTAGCTGTGTATGTAAATGGGCCAGAGATTGTGTCAAGATCATGGGTACCAATTGCTACCAATGATCTTTTCCTATAAAATGAAAACAAGACAAATCAGCAATGAAGATTCCAACCACTCCAGAAATTCCCCATTAAAATATACAGATATCACAGAGGGGAAGCAGGCAGAGGGCCTTCTCAGTAGTGGCGCCTGCCCTGTGGAATGCCCTCCCAGCATATGTCAAGGAAATAAGCAACTATCTGACTTTTAGAAGACATCTGAAGGCAGCCCTGTTTGGGGAAGTTTTTAATGTTTAATGCTGTACTGTGTTTGCAATATTCGGTTGGAAGCCGCCCAGAGTGGCTGGGGAAACCCAGCCAGATGGACAGGGTATGTATAAATAAATAGATAAATAGATAAATAAATAAATAAATAAATAATCTTCTTTATAGAAATATTAAATCACTTCTGCTCAGTGGTCCAGTTGTCTTAAACAGCCTTCAATGTTACACAATAATATGCATATCAAAAGAGACCATGAAAAAAAGATTTATCCAAGAAGCTTCTTCAATTAGCCCTGATTTTTTTAAAAAAATAGCGAATTGCTTTAAAATATAATGAAAACAGGGACGTGGGTGGCGCTGTGGGTAAAACCTCAGTGCCTAGGGCTTGCCGATCGCATGGTCGGCGGTTCGAATCCCCGCGGTGGGGTGAGCTCCCTTCTTCGGTCCCAGCTCCTGCCCACCTAGCAGTTCGAAAGCACGCTTAAGTGCAAGTAGATAAATAGGTACCGCTTTATAGCGGTAAGGTAAACGGCGTTTCCGTGTGCTGCACTGGTGCTGGCTCGCCAGAGCAGCTTCGTCACGCTGGCCACGTGACCCAGAAGTGTCTCCGGACAGCACTGGCCCCCGGCCTCTTAAGTGAGATGGGCGCACAACCCTAGAGTCGGACACGACTGGCCCGTACGGGCAGGGGTACCTTTACCTTTTACCTTTATAATGAAAACATAAAAGACCACCTTCTTCTTCAATCACAACTTTTCCAAGAAATTGATCCAGTTGCTCGTCCCCCACTCTTGCTGCTGCGAGGCAGCACTGTATTTGAACCCAGGCTCATGGCTTTTTTCTCTCTCTCTGACCAAACCATAAGCAGTAGCAAGCGTTTGGTCTTGGCTTACTGCTCCTGGTTTGCTCGAGGAAAACAAATTGTGAGCTCAGGATTGGGTGTTAATGTCAAACCAAACCATGATGTAGCTCCCAGCAACATGGCAAGGGAGGAGTGAAGCAGCAGTGATTTGCACACTGTACACAAGATTGCTGTGTGTTCGCCTTTACATTATAGTGAAGCTTAACTATGGTTTAACACAATGTGTGAATGCTGCCAATGATTCATAATTCACCATTTAAAAAAACAACAACAATGTAATTTGTTCAACTGTATGCAGTATTGCCAACCAACCTGCATATATTTTGATGTAATTTTTCTTGAAGATCAATAAGGCTATCATAGCGGTCCTTGTCAAGAGTTATATTACGAAGCACTGCAGCCACAGCATAAGGACGGACTTGAGTAGTCTGCAATGTGTAAGGGTACATTACGAAAATTAGGGAATTTGACAAAGCGGGGTGGATTCTAGTGTGCCACTAGGAAGCAATCCCAAAACACAGAATATTTTGCAATTAATTTTCACTTTGGGGGGTGGACTCCACAAAGAAAAAATTACCATATTCTATCATGAAACTCTACCTAGGAGCAAGAAAAGATTGACCAAGATCCAAAGAACCATGGAATGAGTTCTGGGATCCCTCAAGGATGCTTTACATTTGCTTTTTATCAAACTACAAACCCCATCCCTGCAACCCACCACCTATACAATATGGTAAACTGTGTCTGAAACTGAAGAGTTTTTCAAAAGCAAGCTGCTGTAACAGCACAGAATTCTGAAATCCAAAGATAAGAAGTGAACATTTCACTGAAACAGTACAAACTCCTTGCTTGGGGTTTAAACTGTGCCAATATTCACAGATTAATTTGTCCTCTCACATGCATATATTCCTGAAGATACACACGGTGACCAAAAGCCTTACTACGGCTAACGCTGAATTTTACTTTAAATCCAGTAAAGCATAGACTTCAGAATTCCTAAAGAGAGGCCCCATCATCATCACTTATGACAAACATTCATTGAAGTGTTATGTTGAGATGTAATTATGTTTTATTTACCTCTTCAGTGATGGTCAGCTTTTGAATTTCACCATTAGGTGGTGTGATCTTCTTGTATCTTGGAGCCCTAATTCTAAAATATTAAGCATTGAGATTAACATTCAAGAACAATTTTTACACATATACAAAAAAAAAAGTAACAGCACTGGACCATGGATCCTCCTCTTCTCCAAACAACATATGCAACTCCTAAATATCAAACTCCCTTCTGCCACCTTCTAGTCAGCCATGCATACACGTGCACATAGGGCAAGAAGAAGTCTGTACCTTAAATATTTTAAATAGAACCAAACTTTAAGTGTTATTCAATATTTTAAAGCATCTAAACACAACTGGAAACAGTTGGTACCTTTTTTTGCTAGAAAGTATTAAAGTGCAGAGGTTGGATGTCCATCCATCATGGATGCTTTAGTTGAGATTCCTACATTTGAACTAGATTGAACTAGATGACCCCTGGGGTCTTTTCCAGCTCTACAGTTCTATCATTTTATCATTAGAGATGTCTTACTGGATTCAATAAGTGGCTGAGGAAATATGTGTAAGATGTAATGGGTGCTACTATCAACACATTATTTTGCAGGAAAACGTTGCTCAAATATAAACAGACATCCAATGAATGCAAATACAAGTTACATAAAACAAATAGAACAGAGTAAAATCACCAAGTTTCTAATAATACTCAACTTTTCCTTGAAAACATTAGAAAATAGTGTGAGTTGGACTTAAGAGTAAGTGTGTAAGTCAATACTCTTGCTTCCTAACGCATTGCAGTGCATTTGGAGTGCTCTGTAGAGCTGCTTTACTTGCTTTAGAAACTTCAGCATCTATGGCCTAGTTACACAAATACTGTTCAGGAACAGAACAAATGGAAGTGTTTTACCTCAGCCCTTATTAGTAAACCAATAAAACAGGTTTGCAACATCTCCAAATACTACAGTACCTTTCTTTAAAGACCTGAAGTCCTCTGACGAGACCTTCCAAGCAAAGAAGGTCATATCGGTTAGCAGGAACATCAATTTTATAGAGAATGATTTCTGATGCACCCTCAGCCTTTTCACCACCTTTCTCTTTGCTTATTATTTCCTTCTCAGAAGTCTGAAATGAAACAAGCATACTTCACAGGAAACTGTTTTGAAATCAGTAATACATATATGGAAAAATAAAATGTATTTGGTTAATGTGCCTTTCATACAAACATGCAGATCACTAATAAAACACAGTTGTACTGAAGTTTTAAAAAGAAATGGTTGTCTATACCAGCCAGAGACATACAAATGTTTGACAGCACAACCCTAACTACTTTTACTCAGAATACCAAATACGTTACAACTATATTTTTTAGCAAAATTTGTATAGTGAAGCAGCTACATAACAGTGACAAGCCAAAGACCTTTTTTAAAAAAGAAGTCTATAAATTCTACTGACAACTAATTGCAGTCATTACTCATTAACACACTATTAAGTTTGACAGCAAAATAATAATACTGTACAGACTGGTTTTTCAGACCTCACCATTTGGAGAAACTTTTAGTCATTAACTTACTATAATAAAGTTCAACTACAGCCTGAACTTAGGAAAGATTATATGGAATAAAAAGTACTAAAAGTATACCAAAAGTATAGTTTCACTATACTAGTAGGCTGTTCATTGAAGAGGGTCCTAAATATTCAGGAATAAAGTTTTGTAGGATGGCAGCTGGATTACACAACAAATGCCACAAATTAAATGTCTTTGCAAGCAGATATGTTAATAAAAATAATTACTTACAATTTCATCAAGTTCCAATCCAAACTCAAAGCATAGTTCATCAAATTCTTCATCCGCTGGAAAGGAATTTGTTTCATTAATTCTGGCATGTGCTAATATTTACAGTAAGTCAAAATGGTTCAGTCCTTGAAAAGGGCAACTGATTTCACCTGCTCAGTTGCAGAAGGGGCCAGAAAGTATATTAATAACTCCAGTTCTGCAAAGTATCTAACTTCCCACTCCTACCTTAAAACATTGAAGGTATCTATACGTAATCCATACATATCATTTTGCAACTTGGTATAGTATCTCTCTTTGTGCTTCCTAGCATAGTAATTTAACATATGGTTACTAATTGTCAGTTGACAAGTATTCTTATCAGCTACATATAACCTCCCATTTGTGTTCCTCATCTAGCCCTTTTCGCACTCTATATTATACCTCTTTCCCTCTTTCCCTCTTCATTGTACCAATTACATTTACTACCTGTGCAGTTTCTATTATAGAATGGGAAAGCCCACAGCTACGACAAACAAACAAATCTGAATCTAAAACAACAACAAAAGGCACATGAAGCTACAACCTTCTTCCAAATATGTACAGCCATAATTTTCAACTACTGGTACCTCAAATTAAGTAGAAATGGGAAAAGGACCCCTGGTGTTGAGCCTGCTTGCATTGCAAAGGGCTGGACTGGATGACCCTCAGGGACCATCCCAACTCTATACAGTATGTAGTTCTATGATTCTACAGGAACAAGGGCTGGGCAAGACGCCTTCTGCTTTTCCCAACTCCTACAGATGCATGAACAGATTGTAGCTGTCAACTTTTCCCTTTTCTTGAGAGGAATCCTATTCGGAATAAGGGAATTTCCCTTAAAAAAAGGAAAACGTTGACAGCTATGGAACAGATCCAGTCCAGGAATTCAATGCTTCCTTCCTTTGGCTGTGGAATGAATGAACAAAACCTCTTTCATTCCTTCTACGAAAGGTAGAGGCACGCCTCAGATTTCAGTCTGACCTGAAGCTAAAGGCATCTTAATAAATAATAATAATAAATATATTATTTACACCCCAGCCACTCTGGGCAGCTGACTGGGGCACCCGCACAACCCACCCACCAGGACCCAGCCTTCCCCTTCTCCAGACCCCACACCGACCGACAGACCTGCAGGAGCCTGTCATTCCTTGCTTTCCCTTTCCCTTGCCAGGGACCCCAGCAGCCTCTCAAGGCCTGATCCTGGACACATTTCCCCCAGCTCGTCTCCCTGGATTCCCTCGGCATGAGGGATGCCCAAACCCCGCTGGCGCGAGAACCACCACCACCCCTCGGCCCCCGCCGTTCCCCACTTACTGTAGCTCTTGCCCAGCGCTTGGAAAAGCAAATCCCGCTTCACGCTGACAGTCGGCATGGTCAGCAAAAGAGACGACGGGGCAAGAGCACCTCACTGCGCGTGCGCCAAGCGCGCCCCAGCAAGGGAAGCCCTTTCGCCGGGTCGGGCCTCGGGCCCTTTCCTTCTTTTAAGGAGTGCTGGCTAAATCAATGCCTGATCCGCGCCGCGGCGCTCCGATTCCTCCCAGCTCGCCCGGCTCACCCAAGGGCATACATAGGCTGTCATGAAGATAGTCGAGGGGCTAGATCATTATCGCGGCGCCTCCGTCAGCAGATGGGAATTCGCTTGCTGTTTGGGTGACCTTTGATCAGGCAAGATGAAGACAACTAAATAACGTTTGCATCAGCAACACGCTCTGCCCATAGACTTACGTAGGGCTGGAAGAGAATTGGCAGCCCCCCCCCCCCGGCTTCCGGACTCATTCAGTTCCGCCGCCTGCAAGCGAGGCAACGTGTCTGTCTCTGAGTGCAAATGCATAGAGCGAACCGGATCTGCATTTAGCTGCGTGCTGGCTGCGGGGCAGAGAGCTGCGAGGGGGCGAGGGAGTTGTTAATTTAACTTTGCTGTGTTTTGCTTTTGGCTGAACTTTATGCATTAACTGCCTTTGTACCCCAGTGTGTTTTCATCGTGGTTGTGGGATGGGTACAGATGATTGACAGCATGCGGTCCTAGACATGCCTGTAGGAAAGAAGCCCCATCGAGTTCAGCGGGGCTTACTCCCAGGCAAGCGGCCAAAGGTGTGCAGCCTGAGCACATGGATACAGTTAGCAAACTGAATTCACGTGAAACGTCTCTATATCCTGTTATATTTGTTCTGGTTTCAGGCAGGTAGCCATGTTGGTCTGACACAGTCGAAATAAATTAAAAAATGGTCCAGTAGGACTTTAAAGGTAAAGGGACCCCTGACCATTAGGTCCAGTTGCGGACGACTCTGCGGTTGCTGTGCTCATCTCCCTTTATTGGCCAAGGGAGCCGGCGTACAGCTTCCGGGTCATGTGGCCAGCATGACTAAGCTGCTTCTGGTGAACCAGAGCAGCGCACAGTAACGCCGTTTACCTTCCCACTGGAGCAGTACCTATTTATCTACTTGCACTCTGACGTGCTTTCGAACTGCTAGGTTGGCAGGAGCAGGGACTGAGCAACGGGAGCTCACCCCGTCGCGGGGATTTGAACCGCTACCTTCTGATCGGCAAGTCCTAGGCTCTGTGGTTTAACCCACAGCGCCACCCGTGTCCCTAGTAGGACTTTAGAGACCAACTAAGTTTGTTCTGAGTATCAAGCTTTCGTATCTGAAGAAGTGTGCATGCACACAAAAGCTTATACCCAGAACAAACTTAGTTGGTCTCTAAGGTGCTACTGGACAACTTTTTATTTTTTTGTTCTAGTGTCTATGTCCTGATAGGAATTTGCAGTGGAATCCTGTATCTGAAATGTTCTCTTTTCAACCAGAAAAATGGAGCCAACAACAGTTTTAAAAACTTTTATATGACAGCTGCTGTCAGCCACCTTCAGTCTCAGCCCCAGGGCCAAATCAATACAGAGGTACCTCGGGTTACATACGCTTCAGGTTACAGACTCCGCTAACCCAGAAATAGTACCTCGAGTTAAGAATTTTGCTTCAAGAAGAGAACAGAAATTGTGCAGCGGCGGCGCAGCAGCAGCAGGAGGCCCCATTAGCTAAAGTGGTGCTTCAGGTTAAGAACAGTTTCAGGTTAAGAACAGACCTCCAGAATGAATTAAGTTCTTAACCCGAGGTACCACTGTACAATTTGATGTTCAAAGTGAAGAACGAGATGGTGCACTTGCACACGGACCTATTTCTACATATAGAAACTGATTGAACTGGCATTTGATGCTTATGTCGGCACTGGTGACAAGGCAGCAGGCTCCTGAGGACAACAAGATAGGTTAGGGAGCACAGGGCCAGCCACTTGCCACCACTCTCTCTCCCACCCCCAAAGCACCAGCTACTCCTCTTAAAGGTAGGGCTAGCCCTGGCTCTTTAATAGAAAGTGGTTTTAAACATTCTCCCAAACTGCCACATGAGGATATTAACAGCAGGTGACATTGCATTTACCTTGCATTATACGGTCGTCATATGCCACTCAGCTTCAGTTCCAGCCCAGGCTGTAATGTCAAGATAACAACCCTCATAAGCCAGTCTGCTTCTCTTACCATGCTTGCTGCTCCCCGCCCTGCCCCCCCCCCCAAAAAAAAATACCAGCATATCTCTCAGCCTCTCTTTCACATCACACCTATTTCACACCATGTATGGAGACAACAGCACTGGAGAGTTTATTTCTCCTCTCCTGCAGCAGGAAGCATTTGCCAGACAACTGGGCGGGGGGGGGGGGCAAAGAAAATTCAAATCTTTAAAATGCATTAGAACAAGTTCATAGAATCATAGAGTTGGAAGAGACCACAAGGGCCATCGAGTCCAACCCCCTGCCAAGCAGGAAACACCATCAGAGCACTCCTGACATATGGTTGTCAAGCCTCTGCTTAAAGACCTCCAAAGAAGGAGACTCCACCACACTCCTTGGCAGCAAATTCCACTGTCGAACAGCTCTTACTGTCAGGAAGTTCTTCCTAATGTTTAGGTGGAATCACGAGTTTGATGGACGAGTGCAAACTTTGGTCTTTACTTCTACTATTTTGTGAGATGGATATGTTTGTAATGGTACCAATCAGTGTAGCATTAAAGTCATAAGACTGAAACATGTCTCAGCATTTTCTGTTCCTTATTCCATCCTTGATTGGTCTCCTAACAATGAGAGCCACAGTGTCAAATAACCAAGAAATCTCATCCACAGCCCAAAGAACAAGTCGTAATTGTTATGTCTTTGCTGGTTTACCATGCTTCAAAACGCACACATCTTTCTTTCTTTCTTTCTTTCTTTCTTTCTTTCTTTCTTTTCTTTCTTTCCTATGTAAAACTTTTCTGTAGAAAAATTGGACTAACTCCCTCACTGGGGGTCTTCAAGCAGAGAGTGAACAGCCCTCTGTTGGGAACACTCTCGTTCTGATTTTCCTACATTGAGCAGGATGGTCCACAGTTCTCCAATTTGGGGGAACACAATCACTGTAATAAACAATTCCCAAAGCTATAACAAGATAGTATTTTGATTTGTTTGTAAGGAACATAGGAATCTGCCATATACCAAGTCAGACCATTGATCCAACCAGCTCAGTACTGTCAACACTAACTGACAATAGCTCCCCAGGGTTCCAAAGATAACAATCCCAGTCCTACCTTAAGACGCCAGGGATTGAACCTGGAACCTTCTGCACACAAAGCAGATGCTCTGCAGCTGAGTCTACAGCCCTATTGATTTCACGGAGTAAGTAATACTAATTGCTTCATCTGGTTCAGTATTGCCTATGCTGACAGCAGATTTCTACAGTTTCAATCAGGGAACTTCACCAGCATTTCAGGAAGTTGCTGGGGACTGAACCTATGACCACATGCATGCAGCGCAGGTGCTCTACCACTGAACTGTAGCCTGTTACTTCCACATTACCCCGCAGTAATGCTGCAATTCTAAACACATTTACTAGGGAATCTACTTGAACTCAGCAACAGTTACTTCTGAGTAAGCCTGTTGAGGAGTGCCCTGAAAACATAAAAGTAGGATTACCATTTAATGGCTTTTTCACTGTTATCTGCCCCAGCCCTTCTAAAGGAGGGATGGTGAAATTGTAGTCTGCCCCCCCCCCCAATGCTGTTGTACCATAAGATCACAGTTTATGTGGGGATTACATTCCAGGGGTCACGCCTAAAGCCATAATCACAAAAAAGTAAAAACACATTGGGTTCAATGACATGTGGAATTGCCAAGGTTTTTTTTTCATGGACGCCTGCCCCGTTTCTGCACTCCCCTTTTAAAAAACCCAAAAAACATTTTTGCCAAGTGTGTTAAGCTGAATGCACACAAGTTAAATGCATGTAAGTTGGGGGTTAAAGGTAAAGGGTAAAGGGACCCCTGACCATAGGTCCAGTCGTGGCCGACTGGGGTTGCAGCGCTCATCTTGCTTTATTGGCCGAGGGAGCCGGCGTACAGCTTCCGGGTCATGTGGCCAGCATGACTAAACCGCTTCTGGCGAACCAGAGCAGCGCACGGAAACGCCGTTTACCTTCCCGCCAAAGCGGTACCTATTTATCTACTTGCACTTTGACGTGCTTTCAAACTGCTAGGTTGGCAGGAGCAGGGATCGAGCAACGGGAGTCCCGTCATGGGGATTCAAACCGCCGACCTTCTGATCGGCAAGTCCTAGGCTCTGTGGTTTAACCCACAGCGCCACCCGCATTACTGTATTTCAATTCCCAACATGTAAGAGAATTGTAGTCCAGTTATATTTGGAAGACCATGGGTTCCCCACCTCTGACCTAAAGAGATCTGTGTTGGACTGCACATGTCAGATTAGGAACTGGGCGTGTTCGTCTGGTGCAGCAAACACAACCAAGTGACATTGTAACTCAATTTATTATGTCATGATAAGCTTCTGTGGACTCCAGTCCACTCCATCAGTTACATCTGATGGACTCCAGTCCATGAACACTTCTGCCATAATCAATTTCTTAAGTCTTTAAGGTGCCACAATATTTTCTTATTGATTTGCATTATATTGCTTTCAATTTGAATTTGCATTCCCACATACATTCTGGCACTTGATGCAAAAAGACATTTTTAGAGCATAAGAAGACCAGAATTGGGTGTTGTTATTTTTTTTAAAAAAGCACAAATTATTGGTTTCCCCCAGATTCCACGTCTATTAGCCACACATAAGGGAAGATGCAGAGGAGAAGTCAGGAGTCAAAATGGGGAAGAAGCAAATGTAATACCCTGCCTTGGCTGTGGACAGGTTTGTGATCAGTAGCAGAGGGGAAGTGTGTGAGCATGAGTCTTTGAGTAAGTGACAATGAATGGAAGCAGGAAGAACCCAACTTAGGTCATCATGCAAAGCATTTAAGCAACTAGGCTGAATCATGCAGATGAAGATTGTTTAAGGTATACTGAGTTGCTACTGATAAAATTAGTCAAGGATCAAGATAAAGAAGTTTTTTGTTTCAATTTTGGAAGTGTAA